ATTATGCATTTGATCAAACTATATTATTGAGATTTATACTAATTGAATTAAATGTTTATTATTGACGATAAATCGCAATAAGGATCTAGTAAAATGACTAAAAGTCCCTGCAGCAATACTTACTAAAGAAGGAAAATATAGAGCTTATCAAGGCATGATGTCAAAAGAACAACCAACAATACAAGTGCGTTTCAAGACATAAATGCAGTTCTCGATAAAATGGCACACTACTTAAAATTGCCAAATAAGACTAAGAAAATTCATTCTAATGTTCAGGCAAAGAATGCCACAAACATGAAATTCAATTCGTTTATAATGAAGAGTCCGCAATAGGTAAAGAGAGTTTTTTGAGAGAAATGGATATAATGTCGAATAATTCTTAGTTATTAATTAATATGTATGTAGGATGAGCAGTAACAGAACAGTTTTTATCAGTGACTATAAAATTGAGACAAATGCTGAATGTTAACAATAAAGTATGAAAAAACTCACCAAAATCATTGAGCCTGAAGAGAATTTACATGAAGTTTTGAAGTTTAGAGAACCAAGTAACGTGAGAGAATCAGATGTAGCTGTGATAGATGAAGAGGTCGAGCTTGCAGAAAATTATTTAAAGCTACACAGCAATCAAATCGCTTGAGCAAAATTAAGCAGCATATAATCAAGTTTACAACGCAGAAGTAATGATTCAACCAAGATTCAACATAATTTTTATGAATTGTGTTAAAATGTTTCCCAAAATTCATTCAGTTCACTATAATCAACACTTACGAAGTATTCTTATCACGTCTAGCTGACCTTAACAGGAAAAAAAACACAGAATTAATTAATTTGTAAAAAAATATCAGAACTGTACAATGTTGATGCACATTAATTAATATTAATTATTAAAAGCGTCTATCTCTAGCTGTTTGCTCCTCATTCTAAGTAGAGTTGCTATAAAGCAAATAATTTAAAATAAAGGAAGCAAAGGATAGGAGGTAATAATATCTTACAAGCCATACAAAAAAATGGGATAAGAAACTTGCCAAAAAAGGACTTGAAGCTCATAGGGTCGGTAAAAGAGAGTCATCCCATAAGATGAAGTGCTTTATTGTCAAACAAAGGAGATTAATTGCATCCTCAACAATCTTTATCAATAATTCCTGTACCAACGCAATTAGTGCAGTATTGGGAATGCAAGACATTCAGACAATTGATTCAATGAATAAAATGGATTAAACTGTAATAACTGGATTTGGAATAGTACATCCAAAATTTACACATGACATTTAATAGAATGGATGAACACTCCGACCTAAAATTGTTCGGAACTACAAACAGTAAAGCATATTCTTAACTGCAAACGTATGCATGCATTAAGAAATGATTGGATTGTAGAGTCTAGTCTAGTCGCTAAGAAGAAAGCGTTTGAAATGGAAAATAATTCTTTTGAATCTATGTTTTTAGGACATGACCAGTCTATAGGGAGAATCTAAAAGGATATCGTTGTGGCAATATAAGGACAATAAAGCAAAAACTGGAGAACTCACTTTTTCAAAATACTCCTCCCTTGCTAGCTATTATTTAAAGGTGACTTAGACTTTGCTTTTCTTTGACATAATCGATACTTGCTTCCTTGCTGATTGTTTACCATGCTCTTTGATGGTGTTACACAGATCTTTGCCTTTTTGCAATCACTTGTAACTTCGTTCTTGACTTTCATATCCCATTCAAAAATGCATTCGTTGCACACAATATGTATACATGCAATCAAATGCTGAAAATAAAATTCAATTAGTTTTAAAATTTTTTCTTGGTCTTAAGACAATGTAATGCTTACTATTTAAAGATCATGATTTTTTTTCAACAGATCCAAGAATCGTCAGTCATTTTCCAAGATGTAGCAGTTCCTGTGATGTAACGTTATTGATAAACACGTCAGTAAAGCTTTCTATTGCACAGTTGAAAAATTCCTGTAGAAAAATCACACTTTTTCATTTTTCAATGGTTGTTTTAATAATTTTTATTCCTTGCAGATTAAAGAAGATAAGATGAAAATCATATTTTTGGATATTCAATCTAACACTAAATCGGCTGCAGCATCATATTCAGTACACCAAGTAGGAATTACGTAATAAGTCAACAGCTGCTTTTATAAATCAGCAAATTTGTTGATAAACTCGATAATTATTGAAGTGAAATTTTATCAGTGCTGATTATTTATACAGGATGCTGAAAGGAAGATGTAAATCACCTTCAATTCTGCATTTATCGAGCAGCAGAGCAGACTAGAGATTTGGTGAGAAAATTCTCTGTTCGGTAATAAAAATCTATTCTTTTTCTTGTCCTCAATGCTCGAAGCATTTCCTGAATCGTTTGACTGCATGGTATACATTTCTTAGTTCAATCGACTAAATTTGTATCCCTGTTGTGGAAGATGATGAAGATGAAATTGAATGCAGGATAATTTTATCTGTCTCAATGGCTTTTCATGAACAAAAACGTGAGAGTGGATCGTCAAGATCCAAATGTAATGATTCATACGCCCTGATTTAAGTACTTGTCAATTACTTTCTGTTGTGGCTTTGAATTTGTGAACCCAATTTGCAATCTCATGCCAGTCAATTGATTCAATGAAAGTTCACGTCTCATTTGTGTTGTTTTGGATTATGAATATCAATTATGTCATGTTTTCTTTCACCTCATGCAAATTCATCGGTCCAGCTTTATGTAAATTTAATTCATACGTCGAATTTAGAAAGAGCAACCGTGTCATCAGTGCAATCGTGTTGTTATCAGAATCAATAATTAATATAACAGTTAAAGAGTCTCAAGATCTAATAACTAAATCTAGCGACTTAAAGATGAAAACAGATGATTTGGTCTTACAGGAGACCTCTTCAAACAAAAGGATGTGAGGGTTAAAGAGAGTGAACCAAAGTTAAGGAGAAATAACGGCGCTATTTCATCATAAAAAAAAGCATTGGTTATATAAGCAACTTTACGTTAAACAGTTGTGGATCAGTTAATATTAGGGTTCGCCGACATGACATGCACATGCATGTGCATGTACATGCGCATGTAGATAATAACAGAGAGTTAACAGCATTTTATATTTCTTTTATTATTATTAATAATAAAAAAAGATTTATAACACATTAATATAACAGACAAAAACTGTTATATAAGCTATATTCTAATGTTACACTGGGCGTAATAATTTGAATGTTTCAATTATTTTAGCAAAAATAATGACTATTCATATTAACAAAAATAATAATCAAACGTTAAACGTTAACCTAATCATCAACTAGTTCCTCTCATTCCACTGCACTTAGAAAAGCTCTATCCTCTGCAATGTAATCGTTTTTATCAAACGTATCTAAGAGTACACTATTTGTGTATATAAAAAACAAGCTTTTTTACTCGTTCATTTGTTAATCTATTCCTTAATCGCGAATGTATGAATCCAAACGTTGACCACACTCTTTCTGCAGTAGCTGAAGAACAAATCATATCACTAATCGGCTGTGCTATTTTGGATAGTTCTGGATACTTTTCCTTTCCAATGATATTCCAATAGTTTCCTACTGACATTTTAAACAAGAAATCTCTTTTTTTCTGCGGAAGCATGGACATTTCTTCAACAAACGATATGATTTGTTCTTGTGCCTCACAAGCAATTTCCGAAGATAAGCCAGATGAAAACTCCTCTACCGAACTCATAATGTCAATTTTATCGTCCTCAAAAAAATATCCTGTCACAGCATGTCTAGGAGTAGGGTGACCATCTGCGTAGTTTTTCAACGGACAGTCCTGTATTTTTCAAGACTGTCCTGTATAAATTTTTAAATTTTGTTCTTGGTTCTGTATTTTTTTCATGAAAATTTCCGTTAATTTTCGAATTTTACTCTATGTCCTGTTTTTTCGAAAAAAATTTACCAAATGTCCTGTATTTTCATGAAAACTAGATGGTAACCCTATCTAGGAGTCAATAAGTATGCTAATCCCATACTAGATGTGTACAAAAAGTTGAGTCTGTTCTTTATTTTCACCTGATTATCCACAATGCCTTCAAACTTCTGGTACATATCGCTAAAGTAGTGATAAACGGATGAAAGAGGTGCATCGTCTCCCTCGAGCTTTCCAATGACATTTGTTGGGTATTCGATTTCTTTTATAAATGAGGCTAACTTGGTCCAAAAAAATGATGATTTGACTAGGTCAAGCGCTACTTTACTGGTTGATTTTGGACTAATTTCTTAAAATCAATAAATGAAGTGGAAATAATATTTTGATAGTAAAAAGTGTAAATTTTGTTAAAATAACGTACATGCACATACATGCACATACATGCGCATGTAAATTTGCATAAATGCAGACATATGCGCATGCATGCGCATGCATGCGCATGCATGTGCATGTGGGCGAACCCTAGTTAATATTATAAAAAAGAATATATCCAATCTGACTATAAAATACTGATAAATACATGCAAAACGAAAACTGAATACAAGACTCGAAAAATTGTGAGATTTTCTATACACACACTATTTCCCCCCTGTTTGACTCATAACTTTTAAAAATAAAGTTAAATGTTTACTTCATTTCCAGAATCTACTAGAAGGTCTCTCAATCTTCGGTTTAAACTTTAAAAGTTTAAGTCATCATCATTATTCTTTATTTTGATTTATATCAGTTGTCATTTGTCAATAACATTTAATTTGCAGATTACAGTATTCTTTTAAGGTTTAATAAATAAATGCGAAATAACAATCCTTTATTATACTTAAAATCACCTGTTTTAAAAACTATTAAGTATTAAAAAACAATAAACAAATGTCGCGATATAAATAAATTAATAATCATTCTTCTTCAATCTGGAGTAAAAAAGCTCATCAAATAAGAATTAAAACATTCTGTTTATATTTCACACGAGATGTGCTTAATTTCCAGTTGATCAAATACGGAACTGACAAGATTGCACTATAAATATGTAACTCAAATTTTACAGTATCATTAGTTGAAATTTAACTGTCATTATGAAGTTTCAAGTCACGACAATTTTTGTAACAAGTTTGATAACAATAGTAATCAGTCAGTGGGATCCTCACTTTATTGGAAATCGTCAAGGAATTGTTCATCTTTTTGAATGGAAATGGCTTGACATTGCTGATGAGTGTGAGACATTTTTGGGTCCAAATAATTTTGGAGGAGTTCAAACTAGTGTTGCAAATGAAAATGTGATTATTAGTGGACGTCCATGGTACGAACGTTATCAGCCAATGTCATTTAAATTAGAAACACGATCCGGAAATGAAAAAGAATTCAGGGAAATGGTTGTAAGATGTAGAAATGCAGGAATTAGAATTTATGTTGATGTTGTTGTGAATCATATGGCAGCATCCCAACCATCAACGCCTGCTATTGGTACAGCCGGCTCAGAAGCATATCCGAGTGATCGATGGTATCCTGCTGTACCATTCAATAAGAGCGATTTTAATACTGCCTGTTCAATTGAAAACTATAATGATCCAAAACAAGTTAGAGATTGTGAATTAGCAGGTTTGCCTGATCTAGACCAAGGAAGAAAAGATGTTCGAGATAAGATAATTGAATATTTGAATCATCTTATTGATTTAGGTGTTGCAGGCTACAGAATGGATGCTTGGTCCGTAGCTATAATATATCAAGTTACATTCATGCTAAGAATTTATATATTTTTTTAATTTTTTTATTGATGAAAAGCAAGCACATGTGGCCAAAAGACTTGAGAGTAATTTATTCAAGAGTAAAACCGCTTAGTAAACAGAATGGTTTTGTTCAAGGTTCTCGTCCGTTCTTCTTTCAAGAAGTAATCGATCTGGGTAATGAGGCTGTAAAACGTCAAGAATATATTTCTCTTGGGACTGTCACAGAGTTCACCTACTCAACTCAGGTTTATAAATAATAACTTTTGCATTTTATTATTAGAATTGAATTTAAAATGTTCCTGAATGCATTTACATCCAGATTGGTATGGTGTTTCGTAAAATTGAACGAGACTTATCAGCATTGAAAAATTGGGGACCACCTAGTGGATTCTTACCATCAAGATATAGCTTCGTTTTTGTTTGTAATCACGATAAGTATGGTCATTTCTCATTTAAATCTTGTTTGTTCTATAGTTTTTTAAAAAAATTATTTTCTTATCAGTCAACGTGGTCATGGCTCTGGAGGAGATATGATTCTAACTTATAAAGATAAAGATCTTTTTATAAAGGCATCAGCTTTCATGCTTGCTCACCCACATGGAGGAAATCATCCACGTTTAATGAGCAGTTTTTATTTTGATGATCCAAGTCAGGGACCACCACAAAATTCTAATGGTGATATTATATCACGTGAAATCGAATCTAATGGAACTTGTTCGAATGGATGGGTTTGTGAACATCGTTGGCCAGAAATTGTTAAAATGGTCAAATTCCGTGCTATAACTGACAAAACTGTTGTCATTGGATTTACAAATATTGCTAAAAACCAAATTTCTTTCTGTCGTGGACGTAAAGGCTTTGTAGCTATTAATAATTCCGATCAACCTCTGAGCGCAACTGTCAATGCATGTCTACCAAATGGTGTCTATTGTGATGTCATAAGTGGCGATAAAGTTGATGGAAAATGTACAGGAACATCTGTAAATGTCCGAGCCGGCAAAGCACACATTGAAATTCCATCGAGTTCCTTTGGATTTTTGGCAATACATCTTGAATCCAGATTGTCTAAATGAATTGTTCGTTAAAGAATATTAAGAACCAATAAATTATATTTTTAAATGCATCACATAAATCGAAAGTATAACATTGAGGTCATTGTGCAACTTTATCAATAAACAAATTGTGACTTAAATAATTTTGTCACTTACAAAATCGATACATTTTTAATGCACAGCAACAAATCTTTTTAACGCGTTAATAAAAAATGTTGAAACTTAAAATAAATTGAAATTTAATGCAAAATCGGCAGGTATATCAAGCATCTTCACGAATTACGAAATTGAATTTGATTTTGATTGTTTGTGCAAGCGACATGTAGTCTCGTTGGGCTTGGCATTAAAATTAGTTTGGAGTTTGTTAAACTTGGTAATTTGAATGCAGAAGTCGATACTTAATTGGAAAAAATTCAGGTCTTTTAAGTAGCCGCTTTATTTCGAAATCAGAACTACTTGACATTTTTATCAGTATGCTGCTTAATAATCAACCCTTAATAACTTCATTAATTTTTTGTAAGTAATAGGATCGAAATTTGATATGCACCACTTGGGTCGTGTTTCATTTTAAAACAGTTGTACAACTTAATAATTGCACTTGATTGATGCAGTGCGAAAAGATAAGATTACAGCAATGAAAATAAATTTTATTGTTTCAGCCAAGGTTCTGGTACTGATGAAATGATCAAAAATGATCAAAATGATCAAAAATGATCAAAAATGATCAATAATGATCAAAAATGATCAGAAATGATCAGAAATGATCAAAAATGATCAAAATTGATCAAAATTGATCAAAATTGATCAATATGTAATTCTTAAGTTCCACACCCTTGGTTGTAGCGAAGTGCAAAGCTTAATTCAATATCCTATTTCAATGTCAAAAGAGCAATTTAATTATGCTTTTGAGTTCTTGAAGCTTTTGAAATGTCTCCATCAAAACTTTTTGGACAATTGATATTCCGTTGATCCAAGTAAAAGCCGTGCTTAAAGTTTAAGCCTTAAACCTCCATTTTGTTACTAGACGTAAAGTTTTAAACACTTTATACCTGTTTTTAAAAGAACATCAAATCTGATAAAATTTTCTTAAGAATCCATTGAACGAATAAAACAAGATGCTGTCCATAATTGTGCACTTAAAACAAGCACATAGGAATAACATGCATATTTAATGATGAGAGTATACGAAAGGGCAAGTAGCAATACCTGAAATTCTTGTAGATGCATCATCATCGATACAATCATTGAGAATCATGAACAACAGCTGATAATTGTTAGCTATGCAGTCATGTCTTGTATGAGTGTAAATGTGTGTTGTTTATGCATAAATTATTGATTAACGAGCCAAGAGAGTGAGTCTCTGTACGTAAAATATAAAAATACCGTTCCACAATAGTCAGAAGAATTAATTTTTTTTCTGTCTTCACTTCCATTCTCACTATGGAGAATATAAAATTAACGTAACATCAGAGTAAGAAAGCGTTTGACTCTTTCTCCAATACACATATCACATTACCAAGCTCGTCTACTTCTGCTCATCGCAATTTTTCTTCTCTTTTTTCTTTCTTTTTACCGATTCCAATTCCAATTTAACTGCTAGTGCAAAGCATTTGAACATCCAGTTCTCTTTAAACTGTTGACTTGAAAGCATCAAAAGAAGAAGAACAAAGTGAATTTTTTGTAAATCAAATAGGAAGAGAAATTTTTGGTGACAAACTTTTTAAAGTAACGAAAAATCTTGAGGATCAAAAATACAAAATGAAACTTTACGTGGTAAGATGTGAATTAAAAAACAGGAAATCAAAATTTGTGCAACTGATATAAAGAATGTTAATGAAGAATAAGAAAGAAAATTGCTACAATTTGCAAAGTGAAATGAAAGAAAATTTACTGTTACAAAGTATGAGAATTACAGCTAATGTTTGATTAAACGATTCTTCTAAATGTAAAAAACATTAAATGCACGCCAAATTAGGGACAAAAAATCTAATTATACAACATCAAATTTGTGTCAATTGAAAAATCAAACATGTTGAAAATTCTCATTTTTATATTGATTTATTTAAATAACGGAGTCTACATTCGGAGATGCTTGACCGAGTGATAGTCTATAATAATATTTATAGAGAATGAGTTTTGTGTGATTTTATGATTAGCAGAACTAGTTTTTAAATTTCTCGAAATGCAGATTTTTTAAGAAAATTTTTTAAAATTCAGCTAAATTCAACTAGATTCTTAAACTTTAAGCATCACAAAAATATGACTAAAAAGTATTTATGTACTGCCCGGTTTTCAGTAGCCGACACATTAGAAGCAAACAAAAATATGGAAAAAGATATATATGTTAATAAGTAGCATATAAAAAGATAAATATGTGTCAACGATTTTCTTAAGTTTAATTCAAGTTTTTATTTTTGTTCCTTTTCAATTGCTTGACCCAAAAGGCAAATGTGCCAAATATTTATTTTAACACTTCCCGAAAAAAACTTTCATTCTTGGCTATAGTGAAGATTGTTGATCGTTAATTAAATTCTACGGATTTCTGATGAATCCAATTACGACAAGCGAGCATCTCGTGCATAGCCGTACAAGAAATTGAAACAATGAGATAATAAAATACCACGTTAAGCGCCAGAACCAGTTCTGTTAGGCATTTGATTACGACAATGATCCCATTCTTTTGCGTACACATAACAATATTTTTTACAGTCCCTTGTCTTTTAGTTTCATTCCTTTTATTCTTGGGAAGATTAAGATAAAAATACAAAAAAATTGCTAAGCTTTTTTGCTCGATGTTCATTCAACTCAGGCAACTGTATAACGAGAACATTAACAAATTCATATATAGCTTAATATAAATTGAAAAAAGAGAAAATAATGACTTAAATTCTGGATCACGATGGACCGGAAAATATGTGAGAAAGGTGAAAATAAAAAATCTGTTAATAATTCTTATTCAAAATGAGTGACGACTTAAGCGCATTTCGGACTTACAAATAAAGACTTATAAAATATATTATAAGGTAGCTAATAGTCCTAAAAGTATACAAGTTTTCAGGGATTATTTCTAAGCTTACAGAAGTTTATTTTACGTTAAGTGCTTACGACCAAGCATACAAACAGGCACAATTCTGCTACTTCTTTCTCAAAAAACACGCATTAAATCGCAAAGTATCACACGAAAATAAACTGTCCACGCAAAAAAGAACTGTTGCGTCGTAAAGTGGCTATTAACTCTCTTTTTAAAGACCATTTCACCAAGTGTGACTCGTCGTTTCTTTAATCGCTGGATATAAAACATTCTTTTTTGTCTCCAGTGGATACAAATTACTCGAATGAGTGAAAAATAAATAAATAAATAAAAGTAAGGCGAGAAATTGCTGCTTAAACATGCAGTAAAAGTAATATAATGTACAATGTCAAGGCTACAAGAAAAAAAGAGCGGCAATTGGCCAAAAGCTGTTATTTTATGCTTCTTCGTTTTTTGCGTGACTTAATTTAAGTGCTTTTCAGTCATTTGAGACATAAACATAAATCATGCAATCTCATCTCGATTTGGTTGTTGTTGATGTTAAGAATGATCATTCTGTCATCATTGTCAGTGAGCTAAAATGACTGTCGATGATGAGTAATAAGTAGTTCAATGACTTAATCAATAATTGAAGTTAAGAAGAATGCTGTCGCTGACTGACGATACAAACTTCTCAATTATAATTGTTGCAAAAAAGCAATAAAAATCCAACTGTAGAATCATTCCTACACAAACCTTTATTTATATACAACCGATGCTCACCGTTGCTTATTGATTAAGAAGAAGTCACAGAATATATTTTTTATTGTTTTCTAAAAAGAACTTTTATTGCATTTTGCAATGTGATGAGATGAGATGTTAATTGCAATTTTTTACATTCTTCTTGCTCTTGGATCTACTCGAATGCTTGTGAGAAAAAATAAGTTTAATAAAGCTACGCTGCTGCGTTGTGATTAATTACAGACAATTTTGAATTAGTGGTGAAATAATTAAAGTAGTGCAACAATTTTTTGATAGATTGTTTGTTCTAGTTATTCCTGTAATTATATCTGAACTAAAATAGCAATTAGGTTTTTCCAGTGCCAGGCTCAAGTGTGGCGAATCTTGGAAAAATTAAAAATACTAAAACCAAAGCTCTAATTTTGGAGTTTGGAAAGCTTTAAAAAATCCAAGATTAACTGAAAATTGTTACATCTACGACTTGTAGTGATTGGCCATCATTGATCTAAGACCATGATGATTCTATAGATTGTTGCTTATAAAATATCAGATGTAAAGCATCATCATGGAATAAAATACCACATTAAGCTTATTTTTTCACAGTAAGTCTGATCTATTTAAGTTGTAAATCAAGTAATTTTCCTAATTAAATAAATCAGGCGCGTAGCCAAGGAGGGAGATTTGAAGGACAAATCCCTCTCTTCTTGAGAAATTTCTTTATTTTGCTAGAGTTTTTATGAAAAACTTAAACCCCACCCCCCCTCCTTTTCTAAACGTTTTCCATGCAAAAAAATTTTTGTCCCCCACTCTTCAAATTCCTGGCTACTTCCCTGAAATAAATCAATACTGAAAAACGTGTTGCCTGCAATGATTTGACATAAAAATTAAATTAAATAAATTCCATCAATATTTAAAATAATGATAGCAATAACATTATTACTTAAAACATTTACGACCCATTTCTGTTTACTTATATTGATCTACTTAAATTTAAACATATTGAACGAAAGGTATGCGTACGCGTACTGAGGTCTCAAAACCCAATTTTTATTCTCCTTTCGTTCTTTTATTTTGATAAAAATGCACAAAACAAAATAAACAAATAATAAGAGTATGAATAGCACGTCAAGCGTTCATATGTCCGGAGATTAAGTAACTGTTCCTATCATACGAATGAATAAGCAATGACACGTCCAAATATTGAAGTTTTCATCTTTATTCTTCGAAATAAAAAAAGCATGTGAAATTAAGGCTCACATGTGGTGTCGTTGAATTATTTCGATTTTGGGTAAATGTGATCTGCATTATTTATTGGTCAAAAAAACATGCAGTTGGAATTTTGATGAGTTTAAAAAGCAGTTCCTCATCACGACAAATTACTGGATTCCTGATATGTCTGATATTTTCACATAAGACAACTCATAAATTTTTCAGGCACTTAAAAAAGCTATTAAGAAGTCCAATAAAGCGAAAAGATAATTGTAACTGGTTTCATGCTGTTCCTTTGTAAGTGATCTTGTTCAAGTTCATTGGAACAATGATTAAATGTAAGTAAATTTTCAATTTATTTACTCTCTGTATTATTATCTGCTATCATTAAGTCGATGATTACGACAGAACCAAAACAGTCGATTTTTCATAGTCTGGCATTTTTGTAAGCCTTTAAATCTTTTGGCGAGTTCTTAATGATTATTGCAAATTCTGTTTAAAATATGATAAAACAATCAATTTAAATTAAACTCATTGTAATAAGGTTCTTTGTTATATTTTTTGGGTTAATCCTGCAATTTGTTAAAAATAAAAACCGAACTTCACGAGTGTGAAATGGACTGAAAGAAAAGCTTTCAAAAATTTAATTTAAAATAAAAAAAGAAGTCTTAGTTAAGCTTATTATTAAAGCATGAATATTACAGAACCGAAGTGTCATTCAGCTTCAGATCCATCGTATATACGAATGGCACAAGTCGGGTAGTTAAATAGAAATCCGGTGCCAAGCCGGTATGACTCTGGCATGGTGCTGGGTTCGATTTAACTCCAGCATCATGCCAGAGTCACACCAGCTTGGTGCCAGATTTCTAATTATTTCAGCGACTTGTGCCATTTATCCAATAAATTCAGAACTTAATATGTGAATGACCCTCATACTTGATGAAGCATATATGAGCAAACATAAAGCAAAAAAAAACTTTGTAGAATAATTTATAAAACTTTATGGCCACAAAAATGTAAATTCATGCCAAATTGATACTTTTTGTCTATAATTGCTCTTAATAAAAATTTAAATATTTTGATTTTTTTTCTCTCTCATATCACAACCAAGCCTTATTTAAACGACTTTAAACAGTTACAAAATACATATTTCATCCAAAACAGCTCATTCAAAAACCCCATCAAAAATTCTTAAAATAAATAAAGAAAAAATAGAACCTGAAAGAGGAGCTATAAAAAATATATTAAAACACCTTCCTGTGAGATCAAACGCGAATTTGATAAACGAAAAGATTCCCGACCATCACATTTAAAATTTGCATAATGCCTTAATTGTATCGAAAGTTTTTTGAACTTTTTCGTATGATTATCATAATAAGACACGACATTGATGTGACTCAAATAAAATTTAACAAGATCGTAGACGAAACAACTTTGACAAGAAGACGTTACCGCCGTTAAGGTGTGTCAGAAGCGAAAAGAACTCAAAAAATTAAATCATAAATATGATATTAACGTCTATCACAAGACAGTAGGAAATTTGTTTTATAACTTGTCCATTAGAGAAGATTTATGGTAGACTGGCCATAAATTTAATCTATTTTCTCCACATAAAATTCATTATCATGGTCTAATCTGCTTTTAAAGAGTCTTAAAAGTAATTTGTGGACAAAGAAAAGAATAAAGTTAATGGATGAAAAAATTGACTGTTTATTATTATAATCGGATAATGGAATTAGCAAAGGCAAAGACCAGAAGAAAGTAAGAGCCTCCCAATCGTTGGCGGTATGACTTAACAGTCAGATGATGAACATGTGAATAGCATAAAAGTAGAATTGGAATCTCTCTAAGATTTTTTATTGCACAACGAATATTAACACATCTATAAAGCTTAGATTGTAGTTTCGTGTAGCAATTCATTTGAGAATAAATGCATAAAGATTTTTACAGTTTTTCGGAATATAATTAATAAATTAGCATCTGAATAAAGTTCATTGACTTGGGATTTATTGTTTTTGTGTCCAATAAAATCGATCATTAATCTGCCTCCAATATTCAATTAATCGATGAATTTTATAGTGTGTATAAATGCGACAATGAAGTGGCATATAATGGTTGAAGGGCTGAGCTTTTCTCAGATGAAGACTGCGATTGAATTCTACTGTACCGCACCATTTAGACCTACAGTTTATAGTGTAATCCAAATCACTTGGATGACATGTTGGATAACATAAAAATCAGAAGCTATGATTATGACAAATCTAATCTAATGATTTTAACTTAAGCCAGTAGTAACTTACTTTTAAAAACGAATGAATTAAATCACAATATATGCTTTCCGTTCTTTATTTTCTTTCTTATTCTCCTTTATATAAATAGATCATATTACTAATTGGAAGTTAAAGAAATATTCAAAACAAATTTATCCTTTTTTTAATTCACAGACTATAGTTCTGCTTGTTCACATTTCTCTGGCATCATGTCGCCCACAAAGTGTACAGTAAGTTTTTGAATAAGAAAGAATATTTCTCTTAAATTTACTTTTATTGTTATTTTTATGACGATAATCTTGTTAACAATATGCAATTTAAAAGAATTAATATGATAGATTTAAAATTTGGAATCTTGTATTTACGACTAATGACATTTACAGTTAAACTTCATCTTAATAGTCTAATCATTTAATAGTAATTTTAATAAAGAAATCTGATCCATTAACATAAAATATAGCTTATAATTTGTAATAATTCCATGATACTAATGCAACTCATTAAAATCTCAAGTAACAAATAAAGACACTAATCAGAAGTCATTCACACAATGCACACTAATTCAAGCTATTAAGTTTCTTCTGCTCCACCTGTAACAATTTCGAGAAAAAAACGCGCTGTTTAGACATCTTTTGTTTTCATGAATTTCTATTTGCACAAAATCTTTTCAAAATTCTTATTTCTTTTTCTATCAAAATTTAGTTCATATTTTTTTCACATTGAATTTTGTTTGTGAAATTCACAAATTTTTAAATATATTCAATTAAATATTTTTAAATACCTAAGTGCAAAAAGTGTCCGTAAGTGAGATAAAAGAACCTGTTTTCGTCAATTTTTAAGATAAATTGTTGCAGGTACGTGTACAAAAATTGTAAATAATTTGTCCGATTTAATCGACACCAAGATGAAAGATTTTAAAACTAGAGCTTAAACTTTATTCAAGGAACCAATTCCTTCAATTTTAAGCTGTTCATTCAATCCAAAAACTCAACATTTTCATCAAAGTGTCGTTTAAATCCTTTTCGTCACAAGTTCAACAAATAAATTAATGAATGATTATTTTAGGATAGAAAAGCAGAACCTACATCACGTAAGAGCTGGTCGATCAAAAGAAAAGCGTGGTTCAGAAGAAGAAACCCGAAGAATATTACAGGAAATTAATCGCATAAATATTGCCATGGGATATATTAGACCCAGTGAATTCGCATATCCACGTGTAGCAAGTGATAATGGTTATTTCTATCCACGTCAACAGTTCCGTCCTGAGTTTCTGACAAAACCTAAAATTAATTCACAATATTTAAGAAACTTCAATTTACAACGTGCCATAAATCCGTTTTATGCTCAAGATTATTATTATCCGACGCCATATCTTCAAGTGCCAAGTAATGGACAGCCATTAACATTTAAATCCAATAAACTTTATTATCCATATACAGTTTATGCACCATATAATGCTATTCCAATGACAAAGAAGGAAGAATTAAAGAATAAAACAGTAAGGTTGGGAAAAATTGTTGTTCTTGATGAAGCTGAAAGGTCACCAAAAGCTATTGAATCAGCTGTTAAGAAACCAGCAGTAAAAGAGAAAAATATTATAAAGCTTAAGATTAAGACAGTAAGAAAAGAAAGTGAAGAAGAGGAGGAAGAGGAAGAAAATGCAGAATTAATTGATCAAATTGTAAGGATTATTGTACCAGAAGCAGCAGCAATTGCCGACGCTGTAGAGGAAGAAGAAAAACGTGAAAATATTCCATCAACTCCAAAGATTCCACCACTTAAAAATGATAAATACTTAAATTTGGATCTTAAACATCAAATAGACGACGATGATGATGATGATGATGAGGAAATTGAAGAATCCAGAAAAATTGGATCTGCACCACCACCACCCGCTCCAAATAGCACACGAGCGTTGAGTTTCTTAAATTCAATTGAAAGAATTCAAAACCTTACGAGTACATTTACATTCAATCGTAATAATGAGACATTAAAGAAATCAGAGGAAGTCACATCATCAACACAGTCTCCAGAAGATGAATATAAAGAAGAAGAGAAGGAAGAAGCTATGGATGATATGGAGGAATTAAAATCTCCATTTACTCTTTTTCCATTTGGACCCAAACAACAATTGCAGACATTTAAGGAAGGTGGTATCATTATTCAAAGACTAAGGGTACGTCATGGTGGCATTGCTATTGCTGGTCCAGGTGGTGTTGCAACAGCAGGTAAGTTTTAACTATAATATTTCATTTCTGATTTCTTAATAATTATCAATTCTAGGAAGTGGAGGTACAGCCATTGTAGGTCCATCGGGTATTGCAATTACTCATCCAAGGTAAATGATTGAATTTTTGAAATTATTGAATGAATTTTCAGGATTTATATTCTCTTTTATTTTAGAGGTTTGGCAATAGGAGGTAATCAACGAAGTTATTCATTTTGAGAAAATAGTAAGAATTATTTAAATTTCTGTTCTAGGTCCAGGAGCAAGAATATACGCAGTTCCAGAAAGTGAAGATTTAGAAAAATTAGCACTTACACATAAAGCCAGAAATCTTGATCACGTGGGTGTGTTAGTAGCGCGAGGTCCAGCCATATATTATAATAATCGAGAATAAACCGAATTTCACTTGCCATCATTTTTATTTCCTTCATAGTTTCATGCTTCATGGCTCTCTAACAAAAATTGTTATCCTCTGTTGAATAAATATTTTATAGACTTTTTAAGAAATTTTTTCCTTGCATGGCTTTTCTGTGTGTGAATTAACCAATATTCATAATTAATTCATTAACTCATAACTGTTTTGTATGATTGATATCATAAAAAGAATATTGTACAAACATTTAGGAAGAGATCAGCCAACTTTATCCAAGAGAGTATCTTGAATGATGGAAGAGCTGCTCAGTTCGCTCAACAGAATCTAATTACACCATTATGGTTTTATAATTATGAACCACCAAGTGTCCAATATTATCCAAAATATCTCACTTATAAGCCACAAGAAACATCTGCTTATCTCCCAAAAAAAGCAAAGCCAGAAAAATTATCAAAGAAGAAGACAAACATGGACATTAAATTAATTGAAGCAATTCAACAAGCAGATAAAAAGTTTAAAGTTGAAGAATTCTTTTATGTTCCACGAGTAAATAGTGAACTGTCCAAAGAATACTCAGCATTACCGTCAATGCCGCTTGCAGATATCATAAGACCATCAACATCCAAAGTTAAAAATTCAATTAAATCACAGAAACTTGAGCTTCAAAAACAGTCATTTGATGAAAGCAATTTAGACGATGAGGAAGAAACAGCAACAGTCAAAGTTGAATCAATTGGAATGTCATCAGCAGATCAACCTTTTCCAAACTATAGTTCTTTCTTCCCAAAAATGACATTTTTACAAGAAGGTGCTGGTGAGGAATCAACATTAATTTTAGAACCACATTCAAAAGCTTTGTCTGGTAATGATGGGATATCGATATCATCGCCTTTATCGAGAGCAATTTTGCGACGTGGAACAGCAGTCAAACTACTATTTCGTCCAGAATCTGTTGCGATATCAGGCGCCGGTGGAACAAGCCATGCACAAGCTGATCTTATCTTGGATTTCATTGACGATTAAATATGCATCAATTTCAAGGACATGCCATATACCTCATTATGTGCCTTAAAATTATTATTATTATTTTAAGAAATACATTGTTCTTACCTCAGTCATTCATAAATTTCTTAAATACATTCTTTGCGAGTACTTTACGCGAATCAATATATAAAATTAAAAGCTTTTCTTCTTCCTTCATGTCTACATCTTTTGTTCTTTCTCCTACTCAAAATGACCAGAACACGTATCGTAGTTTACTTATTATTGCTTTAACTATCACCGCTTTTATTCTGCAATGCTTTAATATCATATTTTCATATTCAAGTCACTTCAGTCGGGACTGTCGCAATTTATTGTAGATTACTGCCGTTATTGTTTTCCTTCTTTATGCTTTGTATCTTGCTTCATGCTGAACACTGCTTCTTTTATATACCAGCTTATCACGTGCGTATGCACATTTCAATTTGAGGTCAAATAATGTTTTATTAATAACATAATATCCACAATAAATGCTATTTAGTAATTGTATGTGGATGTATTAAAACTTTTTTGAATGTCGAAAAATTTTCAGAATCGATCTGAATGAGATTGGATATAAATAAATCCCCGTAGGACATTGTTAACATGTCAATTTGTCAGATCAGATTTTTAAAAGATTACTGTCAGTTTGTTGTCATTCTTAAGTAGACTAAACTATATTTTTGTTGTAAATTCTATCTTGCATGATTTACCGTTGTTTCCTTCTTTACCATTCCAAATTTAAATTCAACTTTATCCACACAATCACAAAAAAAAAACCAAAAACTTAAGGGAAGAACGAAATTTTAGATTCGAACAAGTGGACGATTCTGTTCGATTACCATATCTTGGTGGAGCAAAGGGTCAAGTCCTTGAGATTAGACAGAGACCTGATGGAACCATCTTTAGTCGTATTCTTATGGACGAAACTAAAAAAGATCCACAAACGGAAGAATTCTTACACCAGAAGAGTGAAGCAAATAGTTTTGAAGCAAATCTGATGAAAATTCAGGAAGCTGCTGCAGACCTTGTAAGGATCCAAGAAGTTTTTAAGCAGCAAGGAAAATTGAGTACTGAACAACGAAAGCTGTACAGCCAAAGTTTGGAAAATTTAGGAATTTCTGCTCAAAAATTGGCAAAGATTGAAGGAACAGATGACAATGTTCGTCTCTTGCTTGAAGGTAATTTTACATGATAAAGCAAGAAGTTTGGACACTTAATAAAGTTTATTTAAAATCTAGAACCACAAGGTGATCGTAAAAAGAGCAAGGATTCGAAAAAGAAACCCGAAAATATTCAATTTCCACCATTTTATCAACTCAACAAAAAAGACGAGGACTGTGAGGAAGGTGTTGTTTTGGAAGAAGGAGAAACTAATTCAACATTAACAACAACTGTTGAACCCAGTACGACTGTAAAACCTATCACAACCTCTTCTTCTCCTCCAGTAACATCGTCATCTACAACAACGACCAAAAAACCATCTATAACTATCATTCAAGGGACAAATACTGCAACAGTTCAAAGCAATAACAATGATGTAGAAGAAGAAACTTCTGTGGCTGAAGCTAAGCCAGTTGGTAAGTCACTAATCAATCTATCCATAAATACTGTCGAATTAATTTTGCAAATATTTGCAAAGGTGTCGCAATTTCGGGAGTCGGTGGAGTTGCAAGTTCTAAGCCAGTTGGAACTGCAGTTGTTGGACCAGGTGGATTAGCAATTGGTAAGTTTTAATTTTGATTGAATTTTAAAAAGTAACATTGTTATAATATTGCGTCCAAATTTAGCTCGTCCACAGGCAACAGCAATTGCAGGTATAAAGCCAAGCGACTATAGTTCCCTTGGCCTTCCACTGCCAACAAAACTCAAGAATTTAAATGCACGTGACTCAACATCACTTCCATCAAAGGGTAAATATGGGCTCGTCAACATTGGAACTGACGATGACCAAACACAGTTTCTTGTCGGACCGGAATTTTTAGCTGAAGCACGACTCTCTGACAAAGGAATTGACTCAGATGGAGAAGAAGAATTTGATACAGAAGATAAGGTTGAAAACGAGGACTCGAAGACGATGGAAGGTGAGAATTCTAGACGACAATCTACAATTGAAAAAGAGAAGGACGATGTCAATGAACTTGATAGTAATAAACACACTGAATCATCTGATAATTTACAATTTCCATTCGGCATAGAATACGGCAAGCATCCACAATTCCCACCAGCTTATGATAATTTCTTTGCTTATCAATCTCCATACTTTTTACCACCAAATGCATATGTTCCCGTACCGATTAATAACCAATATTTACAAAGAAGAGCCAGTAATGCAGTATTGAGATATCCATCATATTCAGGATATCCTCAATATCCTGGATATTCAAACAATAATGGATTACCAGTTTCACCATTTAGATTATTTTATGCTCAATAAAAGTAGCAGAATGTAGCAATAAGCTTTAAAAATTATTTAATTAATGCCATTTTTATTAAAAAGTTGACTAAATGTCATTAAAATTAATTGAGATTTAAGAAAATGTACAATAATAAAATTAGTTTCGCGTGACAAATTTCTCCGTGGGTGTGTCTCACAAGCATTGGACACACACATGTTGAGGACATGCGAAAAAGTAATTTAAATAAAAATTTTGTCGATGACAAAAAGTGAACTGTCTGGCATTTATTTTTTATAGAGGATGAAAATTCTTTACAGATTACACTCATATGTGCTGATCTTGAAAATTCTTAAAATTAAACTGCATTCATGTTCACGTGCTGCATTGCCATACAATCCATTTAAAAAGTTTAAATTAACTTAGTCAAAACATGAAAGACGTTTCACGCAATTTAATATAAAAAATTGACTACAAAGTAAAATTTTATAGCAAGAACATTTTGCCGTTCTCGCAACTTTATTTAAAAAGAACCACTTATGATTACAGACGGTAGATCCGATAAATATATTTATTTTGTTGTTCCTACGTTAAAACATTTATCAATTCTACGATATGTATGCATATAATCAGAGTTTTGTGTGATATTGCTTTTTAAAATATTTCACGTAAATTATTCTCAAATAGGTTTTTCCTTGATCAGCAGAAGTTGTACTTATAAGGTCACTTTGGGTTGATCAACATCCTTTAATGATCCTTCAAGGTTCATCGTTATTAGAAGATTTAATTATGTTTTAACCAACCTGATTAGTCTCAAACCCATAGTCGCTTTCGATTGATCAAGAACTACATTAGGCTCAGTCTTGGAATCAATACTTGTTACCTAAAACAATAGGGACCAATTGAAATTTAAGATCTCTTTTATGATAAACCTTAAAAAAATCTTTTTTTTTAAAAAAAAGTATCAAGTTTCATCAACAAAAAATTGCAGACATCTCCTAGATTAGGACCTTCCGGTTTACAATAAAAAAGGCTAAATCTCTTTATTTAAAAAAATGCGTTTGTGCTACCTGCCATTGTCATTTTTTATGCATTCTTAACGCGTTCTTTCGTCTTTCTTTTCCCATTCATTCTTACAAGGATATTTAAAGAAGTGAAAGTAATTTTAGAATTTACCTGAGATCTGAATGTATCATTTGCATAATATATGAACACTAACAGTAACAAGAATAATAGTAAAAATAAAATTTATGGTATCTTATGCAACTTATGAAATGAATCAGCAAGAAGAGTGTAGAAAAAAGGCTGGCAATACAGACAATAAAAATATATAAAAAAGTGTTAAAGCGGAAAGAATGGTAAGAAAAAGAACGAAGAAGAAGAGCGTACGGACATGCTGTAATGTTTATAAGGATCGAAAAAAGGCAAAAGGGCTTTAGTTGCTCTTTGAGTCTGAAAGTGAAAACAAGTGAGAAATTAAAGAATTGCAATCCAGTAAAACTAATATTTGTTAAGACATTAAAAATAAGCTAACGAAGGTTAGTGATGTGATGTAATAAATTGTGCATGAATTGATTTCTTAAAAAGTGAAAAATTGATTTTTTTATTTAAATCTTCCAGAAGGTTTCAAAAATGCTCATTCGGATACTGTTCATATTAATTTCACTGCTGATCCTCGTTCAATCAGCACCATCACCATACTTCACACGAAGCTTTGTGAAAACTCCAAGTTCAACATACGAACAATATCTAATTGTGCCTGATAAAAGTGATGCTTATCGTGTCCCAATGAGTCAAGTTCATCATTATTCGGATTTTCAATTTCCAAAGCAACAAGTTGTCTATTATAATCCAAGTACTGGCACCAATCAGCATAGATTGCAAGCATTAAAAAATGATAATCCATTATGGCAAGAAATGTTGATGAATTTACATGGAAAATCTGATGAAAATATGTTGATGAACGATGCAGAAATGTCAAAAATGAGTACGGAACATACGGAAATGAATGACAATAGTGAACAAAAAGTCATGAACGAAGATACAATGAGAATGATTCTAGATCAAGAAAATCCAAGTTCAGATATGATGGAAAAATTGAAGCGTGATGATACAAAAATGAGTGAAATGATGAAAGTTTTAGCGGAATCGACGACTTTTACTCCGAAAATATCGATTCAACAAATCAGTGTACCGTCAACTGAAGATATGACTCGTGATGAGATGAGCAACATGAACGATGAAACAGAGCAAATGAGTGATCAAAACGATGGAGAAGTTGTGCCAAATATGATGGAATTGACACAAAACTCAACAAATCAAATAATGCGAGCAAGTCCTCAAATTCATCCTGAAATGACTAGAGTAATTGTTCCAGATTTAAATATTCTTGAAACTAAGAATGAAAATCTTATTGAAGCTGCTGAAAATGCACAATCTTCAGATTCCGAAGAATTAAATAAAATTCAAACAGAAACACCATTAGTGTCAAGAATAGCTGAACTTATTTCTAATGTAGAACCACTAGAAATGTCGACAGTTATGAATCGAGATATTCAGGCAGTTTCAACAACAGAACAACCACCATTAAGAAGATCAAAGGATATGACCCTCGAAATTATGAGAAATATCAAAGACCATCCAGAGGTTATGATTAAAATTGTTGAATTGGCTGCTGCTAGTATTCAAGAAATGGAGTCAAATTTAAGAAATGAATCAATGGAAAATGAAGAAAGATCAACTGAACAAAGCACTACTGTCACCGAAACTTCTAGAATGGAATCAACAGAGTCTTCAGAAGCACTAATAAAAACAGATGACCAAGTTAATATGCTAGAATCATCTACAGTAAATCCTGTGAATTTATTTTCAACAGAATCTATTGAGTCATCCAGAGATATACAAAACATTCTAATGCCCTCAGAGCCTTCTGTAAGTGATGATGAAATTAAATTTTCCACAGAAACTTCAATAACTTCAATTGAGACAAGCACTCAAGTCTCATCGGAATCTTCCGTTCCACAAGTTCAATCAAGTTTTGACGGTTCAATGATTTTAACAGAAAATTCTGAACCTGAAATAGATAATTCTAATGAAGAAGTAGACGTTCCTTCAACATCAACTCAAATTTCAATGCAGAACGTATTAGAAACAACCGAAAGAGTCGAATCCTTTAGTGAACCAGAAGAAGTTCGCACAGGCCTATCAGAATCTTCTGAAAATATTGCAGAGACAACACAAATAACTGAATTAACACCAAGTTCAACGGAATCACTCCAATCAGAGCAAATGGAATCATCAACTCAGTTAGAAGAGCTAGAAATTATTCAAAGCTCTACAGAACCGGAGTTATTTGAATCATCAAAAACAACAGAGGTCATAAATACTATTAATGATGAGTCTACGGAAGCAATAAATGCACCAACAACTGAATCAATAACATTGCAAGAAAGTTCAAGTATCGAGTCATCTGGAATGATACAACAAGTTCAAATTATTCAAATAAGCATGACCTCAAAAACTGACAATTCAGATCAAGTTAATTCGACCATGACAGAAAATATCGAGCAATCTGTAACAAGATCAGACATCCCATTAAATGCAAATGACAACGAATCAAATGGAAATAAAGTTTCTTCATCCGAAGAGCAAACATCGTCCGATTCAGGTGAAAGAGAATCAGATTCAAAAGAAGAACAAATCACCTTGCAAGAAGCACCGCAAAGCGAATCAGGAGAGACAATGAGAGAAGGTCGTGTCAATAAAGCTCCTACAATGTTCTTGCATAATAACCGATTTTATGTAATTTCTGGTGTTCCTGAGTTTTATGCGAATTTTGATGCTTATCAAAATCCACGAACTCCAATTTTTAGCCTTCAAGAGCTCCAGCCAATTAGGCCAATGAATAATGTTGCCATACAAAACATCGAGCCATTCCGCATTTACGTAGAAGATAATGAAGAACAAAAATCAAGCACGCAAGATGACAATGAACCATTCAAAATACAGAGCAGCACAACAGATAACCTGCGGAGTGATATTGAAAATACACAGTCAATAAATATGGAGCAAAGAGAGTCTGAAATGCAAAGAGAAATGACGGTTAAGGTGAAGAAACGAGTGCAAGATCGGCAGTCGGCTAGTGAAGGTCAGTATCAGTTACAATATTTTCATATTTTAAGATACCTTAATAAATCATTATTGGACTCTTGCTACCTCCTTAATTTCATCGCTTTCCTTTATAAATTGTAATTCAATTAATTATCCAATAATTTTTATTTTTGCAGCAAAACAAGACGACGATGATGAGGAAGAGCCGTCAGTTGCACAGGCGAGTCCAGAAGCAACTTCCATTTCTGGTGAATAACTTTATAGCTTCGAACGACTGTTAAATATTTATTGTCTGTTAATTTTATTAGGTCGAGGAGGTGTAGCGTCAGCTGGTCCAAAAGGCACAGCCTTAAGTAATAAAGGTGGCATTTCCGTAGCGTCTCCAAGGGCAACGGCAATAGCTGGAAAATTTAAATTCAATGATTCTGATGATGGCATCGATGTAGATTTTGAGGATGATGTGAAAGTACAAAACAGAAGAAGAGTGCAAGCAGCCAAGAGAAAAATTATCAGAGGCAGAAGAAATTGGTGAATTTAAATTAAATTATGTATATTATTCGGATTCTCAAAAAATGGGAACTCCTCCAATGTAAGATTTTGTAATTTTTGAATGCATTAAAATTTTATGATAAAGTTGAATAAAAAATATTTCATAAATTCTTGAAAAAAAATCCCTGAGTATTGATTTGTGTTTAAGATACAAAATTACACTTGCTGAATATTAATCATGGCTCGTAAATTGTAATGAATTTAATGGACGATTATTAAATGTTTCATAAATAAGTTGCTTAACATCACGTTATTTTAATTTGTATGTATAAAATGCTGAATGCATGGATAATTTTGACACTGCTTAAATATTTTTGATTGCTGGATGTATGAAAATTGCTAGATTTGTTCTGCTTTATTATCAAAAATTTTAACACATGTGACATTGCCTAGTGTCCCACATAATATCCTTTGAAAGAAATTGTTAAGTCGAGGAATTTCTGACCCACTAAGTTCTTGGTCTGGTAATTATTATTATTGGATAGCATTAAGCTTTATCAGACATCCTAGATTCAATTATACTATAACAGCATCTGTAATAAACCATAGAGGTAGACTTAAAACAATTCAAAAGTATTTCCTTGTTTATATAAAAAAGTCATTAAAAATGCATTAATCACTTTTGTGCTGTACCTTGTTAAAAATAAATTAGTGATCATGCGTGTCTGTAATGTACAATTTAATTGATATTAAATTTAATTAAGGAACGCTTTTGGCTATTTGGTTTACTTTCATTCTTAACGATGTAATTTTTTGAACAAAACGTGATGAAAGTTTTGCAGCTTCTCGCTTAATGAGTTCGCGATCAATGTGAAAATAAAGTTGTTAAATGCAAAATATCCTGCTGATACTTTTTTTTGAAGTTTTCTGTGCCATACTTGTTAACATTGATGGAGGTCAAATTTCATGAATATAATATAACAAAGTTTTAAAAATGCGTTTAACTTTCTTCATAGTTTGGCTAGATTTACAGCTTATATATATCCAGACAGAAATGAAGTTATCGAATTTTAAAAATCAGTAATGCCTCAATAAACAAAATACTCTATAAATAAAGCATTTACACATTCGGTTTTAATTATTATTCTTTTCTTTACGATACGAAAATTCGTAATCCATGATAAGTACTTTACAATATGCACATTAATTGAATAAGAATCTTTTGCTCCACATGAATATCCTTCAATACTTATTAAAGAACAATTTATCATACCATAAATGAACCTTTGCATGACATAGTTTTAAATAAAAACAAGCCTAATTTTCATTAAGCTCTGTATCATTAATCTTTTGCCTTGTTATGAGAATGAACATAAAACTGAAAGTAAGAATAATCGATTCTTTTGATACCTTCATTCTCATCGTCTATGTTAAGAACATACACGCACAATTTACTTTAAATGTGTTACTTCCTTCTCCCTTTTCGATTTCTTAAATATTAAAAATAAAATCTTTTCTAGATTAGCATTTTGTAATGTCATCGCTAGATGATTCCTGGAATTAGGACTCGTATGACAAAAAATTCTAAAAAGCTTTAAGGTACGATAAATTTGGGATAACCATTATTTTCTACAAAACTACCTCATCATTCTCAAAATCTGTTACTTTGTTCAAAAAACCATAGCTTCAAATTCCATTCAATCTTTTATCTGCTCATAAATTTCAAAGTCGTTCCAACATTCGATTAGTGACATATTGGTTAAACATTATGATTTAACACGTCAAAAGCTGTGAGGCAATTATCTCTCAAAAAAGTAATGTGAAATAATAATTCTTCATGACTGATTGGTGATCTTGGTATAAGTATGCATTCACACAAGCTCAATGTCATTGGCATTGACTTAAACTGTAATTATATCCTTTGTGAGAGACTGCGTTACTCATTTTGAATGATATGAGATAAATTGTATTACGTATTTTCGGTATTGTGACTTTATGTCGACGACTTTTAAAATTGAAATATTTTTTGTAGTTAAATATTCAAAATTTTATACCTGGAAGCTTTAAACTTGACAGTTTTTAAAACACGATAAGTTTACTCAAAAACTGGAATTTAGGTGTGGATTTTCCCGATGGGTATTTCTGATGAAGTAATTATTAAGACGTATAGTAGTTTCATTAAAGAGACTTGTGGAAAAAATATCAATTGCTTCATTTATCACAATCATATCTATCAAGGTATTATTACTTATTTAAGGCAAAACAACCTACTGATTGTGTCATTATTGAAATAATTATTAAGAGAATTCTTCTGTAAAGTTTAAAGTAATGCTATCAAGCTTGAGCTGAGTGTGAGAAAGTTTAGCTAATTGATGAATACTAGTCAATGAAAAGGAACAATGCAGTTCGAAAACATCAACTTAGAATTAATTATTAAGCATGTGTTGTTTTATTCTTTTAAAAAAAAAATGTCGTTTAATCGGTGACAAAAATAGTCAACTCAAGAATGTCTGCTAGACAAAAAAACAATGTGCTACAGTTATTAAGCTCAAAAAAATAAGGTATGTGTTTGAACTACTGTGACGATGAAAACCGTAAACAATTTTGAGAGAAAAACAATTGGATTTCTAGCACAAAGCGAAATGAATTGAACAAAACAGGATGAAGTGGAAATATAAATTTTTTAATGTTATCAACAGTTTTTACTTGCATGCCTAGAGCTTTTTTTTACAAAAAGGCACCAATAGAGATTTAGACTTTTTAGACTATTTAATTTGAAAGAATATGTAAAATTTCATCTGAATAAATATTTTTTAAAAAAATATACAATTGTCATCAATCATCATTTTCAAACAGTTATCACATGATAAAATTTTTTATTCAATTTAATTAAGATCTTATACAAATTTAAAATTGGAACTAATTGCAAATGTTTTTTTTGCTGATTATTTCGTAATTTTCAAGAGTTTAAATTTCTTGATTAAAAAGAACCAGCAAGAACCTTGGCAATAGATTATTTATTGCAAAGCAATTCAGCTCCCATTACTTGTTTTATCCACGTGATGTAGCTGGGAACATGCACATTTATAGAGTATGAATTTTTCATTCCACAGTCAAGACCCTCGCTGAAATTTAAAAAAAAAATTGATTAAACCTGATGTAGCCATAATAAAGTTTTGATTCTACCTTGTAAGAGCAACAAAGTAGTACAAATTATTTATGTATGCATAAATGCCACCACCACTATCACGCTGGCATGTATCTCCTCTACCTCCATTAACCAAAAGTCCTTGGCAGCAAACTTTTTGGAGCTGATTACATCCTGTTACTAAAGTTTGATTTACAATTAATCTTACACTTTGGAGGATCCACGATTTCTTATCAATTGTTGCTCCCATAGCAAACTCAGTTCCTCCAAAACCAATTGCTGTCAATGAAGTTCCAGTTGGAAAACTGAAAGTTTGATAGGGGAATGATATGCATGCAGGGCCAACTCCTTTACTGTTGAAAAAAATGGATATTAATGTGAATTCGTTAATTGTGTAGGAAGGAGATTTTACCTAAACCGAATGTCTCTCGTAGTTTTGATATATCCAATATCATTAACTCCACTAACGCTATTATAATTTGGATGAGTAACTGCTGCTGATATAATGTATTGTTCTGAGTAAACTGTGTCAGCATAAACATCAGCAGTGACATTTTGACGACCAACATGTAAAAGTACATTAGCCAATCCAAAAGATTTGGCATAAACTACACAGTGAGCAGCAGTAATGCTGTACTTGTACGAAACTGAAAATTTCTGTTTTCAATAAATTTATATAAGCCAGACAATTCAATTAACTTACTGATAGTTGCGCCACAGATTGCTTCATAAAATTTATTAATCATAGTTTTAAGCACTGCATTGCCAATGAAAGTTGTGGATGCAGAAGATTGTCCTTTTTTTGTAATTATTGAAATTTCAATCGTCAGCTTTTAAAAAAAATTATTAAACTAAACTTACCATTAGCAATACGGGTTGAAGGATTCCAGCTACAAGTACAATTTGATGCTGTTATCGGATATGCTATCAATCTCATTTGGACAGTTCTCTTAAAGTCATTTGAAACCACGCGAAATCTAACCTCATTTCCTATTGTATTAAACCTCAACGGATTATAATAATCTCTTAATCCACAATATTTTACAGCACTTCGATAAAGAGGATCCCCATTAGGAGAAATTTGAACGTATTGAGTTGTGCATGAAGTTCCTGTTCCTGTCAAATTGTGATACAACTCAACTGAAATGTAGGTATCAGTTGGACTTCTTACAACATAATCGCAAGTGGTTTTTGTACTTCCAGGTTCCGAAAAATATATAAACAGTGCTTTATTAGTAACTGTAAAACTTTTTTCCGTGTTGCAATAAACATAATCAGCCGCAGTTTGACAAATTGACTTTTTAATAAAAATGCTCAAAATTAAAATGAGAAGAAACTTCTTATCTAGCACCATCTTCGCTTAGTATTTTTGTTAGACTGATAAATAATTTGAGGAAATTAAAACAGCCTCCAAATTTGTTTTGTAAAGTATTATTTTTAATAAAAGCATACAATATGAATAAATATTTGATAATAAATTTTGTAGCCATTTATTTTGAATACTTTCATTATAACTGTGTCATTATATGTGACAAAGCAAGTTCAGTATAGTCAATAATTTTAATAAGTTTTTAAAGCATATTCAATTAGAACTTAACAATGTTATGGAAATCCTATTATCTTTAGTTCAATTCAACTATTTATTGCAAAGTAACTCAGTTCCTATTGCTTCTTTAATCCAAGTAATATAATTTGGAATATGAACATTAATTGAGTATGAGTTTTTCATTCCACAGTCCAGACCTTCACTAAAATAATTTAAAAAAATAATATCTTGTTTAATCAGTTTCTAATTTCTTAAACTTTAAACATACCTAGTCAGTGCCATTAAGTAATACAAATTATTTATAAATGCATAAATTCCACTACCGCTATCACGTTGACAAGTGTCTCCTCTTCCTCCATTAGAACTTAAATGTCCTTGACAGCATACTTTCTGAATTGTATTGCATCCTGAGGCTAAACTTTGATTGACAGTTAATCTGACACTTTGCAAGATCCATGACTTTTTGTCGATACTTGCTCCCATGGCAAATTCAGTCCCTCCAAAGCCAATTGCAGTTAAAGTTGTCCCCGAAGGTATGACATAATTTTGATATGGAAATGATATGCATGCAGGACCAACTCCTTTACTGTCATGTGATACAAATTATATTTTTGATGATTGACATTTGATCCTAAAGGTAAAAATTTGACATACCTAAATCTAATATCTCTTGAAGTCTTGATATATCCAATATCATTTGCCTTAGTTTGTGAATTATATTTAGGATGAGTGCTAGCCACAGCAATGCTGTACTGCTCTGAAAATACTGTATCAGCATAAACATTAGCAGTGATATTTTGGCGTCCAACATGCAGGAGGACTTTTGATAATCCATAGGCTCTTGCATTAATTATACAATGTGCAGCAGTTATACTGTATTTAAAGGAAACTAGAAAAGTTTTATGGAATGCGAAATAATTTTTAAAGTTCAGTCGAGCTTACTAATTGTAGCTCCACATATGGCTTCATAAAATTTATTAGACATTGTTTTAAGTACCGCATTTCCGATAAATGTTGTTGCTGCAGTATTTTGACCTGATTAAGAATCAAAATTGACAAGACTTCTTGAGCAATTTTAAGAAAAATCAGATTGTGCAATAAAAAATGTCATACCGTTAGCAACACGCATTGAAGGATTCCAACTGCAGCTGCAATTACTCGGTGTTATTGGCCATGCTTGCATTTTTATTTGAACTGTTCGTTTTAAGTCATTCGAGACTACTCGAAATCTTACTTCATTTCCTATTGTCTTAAATTTTAATGGATTATAATAATCTCTTAATCCACAATATTTTACAGCACTTCGATAGAGAGGATCCCCATCAGGAGAAATTTGGACATATTGAGTTGTGCATGAAGTTCCTGTTCCTGTCAAATTGTAGTATAATTTAACTGAAATGTATGAATCGGTCGGACTTTTTACAACATATTCACAAGTAGTTTTTGCATTTCCTGGCTCAGAAAAATAGATAAGCTGAGTGCCTCTAATTGCAATGTGTTTTTCAGTGTTACAATAAACGTAGCTAGCTGCTGTTAAACTGAGCGATTTTTTGACAAAAACAGTCAATATTAAAATAATTAGAATTTTTTTATCGAGCACCATCTTCATTTAAACTTTTTTAAAGACTAGAAAAAGCATTAAAAGCTTCTGAATTTGTTTTATTATATTTTGTTTTAAAAATAAAAAGCAAGGCGTGGAAACTATCCCAAATATTGTATTTATCCCATATATCAAAAAAATATTCAAAATAATCCCTGAGCCTGTATGCATTAGAATTTAGATATCCCATCATATCCTGAAATTACACGTCCAATACACTAAGGATACGTTGGGATATCTTTATTATCGTGCATACATGCTCAGGAATTTTTTGAATCTTTTTGGAATATGTGTGATAAATATGATATTTGGGATAGTTTCCACGCCTTAATAAAAAGTGAATAAATATTTGACAACAAATTAGCTAGAAAAAGTTGTAAAACTTTTTTTTTTTATTTGAAAATTGAGATAACACGAGTTGATGGAGGACATACGATTGATGACTATTTAAAGCGCATTCATGTGAAAACGTCTGTTGAGGCTTTAACTAGCCAAATAAGTAAGAGGTTGATCATAAATGACGTGTAATAAAAATTATACTTTTTGTGAACCCCCTTCCTTATTCATGCAAGGTTATACAGACTTCGATACTCTGAAAATAGTAATTTACTTTCTGGAAAAGATGGGTGTTGTAATTCCCCAAAATGGTGACATAGAAATTTCTTGAAAATTTTAATAAGAATCAACAAAATCTAAAAAAACATTTATTTTAATCAACGTTACAAAATTTTTATGCTGGACATTAATTTTCTTTTGTGAATCTAACACGTAAAGTTCAACAATTTATTTGTTGCATAACAAATCATTTCCCATAAATGATTTTATCCATGGGATATGATTAGGAACATGAACATTTATAGAGTATGAATTCTGAGCTCCACAGACAAAACCCTCACTGAAATTATCAAAATATTAGTCTCATTAAGACAGACATCTTTTGTTGAATTTACCTGGTTATGGCCATAAAATAAAATAAATTATTTATGTATGCATAGATGCCTCCACCGCTATCACGTTGACATGTATCACCTCTACCTCCATTAGCGACTATGTCTCCTTGACAACAAACTTTTGGAAGTTGAGTACAAACAGGATCTAAATTTTGGTTTACAGTAAGTTTAACACTTTGTAAGATCCACGACTTTGTGTCAATTGTTGCACCAACCGAGAAATCAGTTGCACCAAAACCAATAGCCGTTAATGGAGTTCCTGAAGGAATTGCGTACGGTTGATAGGGGAATGATATGCAAGCTGGTCCTACACCACGACTGTGAAGGAAATAATTTCAAGTTTGTGATTGACTGACTCAAGTTAAATTTCCAAAATATTTGGCTAGTAACTAGCAACTTCAATAGTAATTCAATAGAGGATTATTACTGTACCTGAATCGAATATGCCAAGTAGTTTTGATATATCCAATATCATTCAAGTTGTTGGTATCATCATAATTAGGATGTGTGACTGCTGCTTCAATTTCATATTGTTCTGAATAAACAGTATCAGCATATACATCGGCAGTGACATTTTGACGACCAACATGTAAAAGAACATTAGCTAGTCCAAAAGATTTGGCATAAACTACGCAGTGAGCAGCAGTTAAGCTATATTTGTATGAAACTAATAGATTTAATAAATGAGTTTTCTAATATTCTTGAAAAATTCATCAACTTACTGATGGTTGCACCACAAATTGCCTCATAAAATTTGTTGATCATGGTTTTGAGGACGGCATTACCAATGAAAGTTGTTGATGCTGTGCTTTGACCTATTTTAAAAATAAATTGAGTTTCGAACAACTATAATAATCTTAAAATATTTAAATCCCACCATTAGCAACTCGTGTTGAAGGATTCCAACTGCAGCTGCAATTACTCGCCGTTATTGGCCATGCTGTCATTTTTATTTGAACTATACGTGTTAAGTCATTAGATACTACACGAAATCTAACTTCATTGCCGATCGTATTAAATTTCAGAGGATTATAATAATCTCTTAATCCACAGTATTTTACACTTGTTCGATATCTAGGGTCACCGTCAGGAGAAATTTGAACGTATTGTGTTGTACATGACGTTCCGGAGCCAGCTAAGTCGTAATACAATTCTACAGAAATATATGAATCTGTTGGACTTACTACAAGATATTCACAAACAGTTTGTGAATTTCCAGTTTCAGAAAAGTAGACATAAAGGCTTTGTCCAACTGCAATGTATTTTCCAGTATTACAATAGACATAGTCATTTGCAGTTAAAGCTAGCGATTTTTTAGCAAAAATACTCAAAATTAAAATAATCAAAATTCTTTTATCTTGCACCATCTCTATGCATCAATTTCACAAGACTGATAAAGAGTTTGAGATAAAAAGTCTGTTTTGGAGCATCCAATTATTCCTTTATTGTGTTTTGTTTTCAGTGTACAATATGAATAAATATTTGACTGTAAGTTAGCTTGAAAAAATTGTTTTCATTTGTTTTATATCATTTGAAATGTGATAAACAAGTTTGAATAATTGTAGAAAATAATATAAAGCGCATAAATTGTTTTTCAAGGACTTTACATTAAAAGGAATGGAGGGTCCCTTAATTTTTCGACAGTTCCAAAAATAATTTAAATTTCTTCAATTAAGGTGTCAAATCATGAAAATTATTGAAAATATTCAGATAATTTAAGTTTAAAATTTTGAGAATCTGTGGTACTTTTGAGCTTTTAGTCAAGATTGTCAAAGGAATAAGAAAAGTTTACAAGACAAAACGATTCAAAAGGAACTCTTCTGAAATTAAGAAAATATGTAGACAATATGATAATACCTGAAAAATACAGCTATTGCCACTGTCAATGTTGTTGTTATCATTTGTTGGTCTGAAGCTCTACATGAATGTTCATTGATACAAACAGCTTTTATGAACAACATTTCTACCAATGTATTTGTTTAAAGCTTGCGACAAAAAGAATCCGAATTATTTTTTTGTGCTCTGTTCATTGAAGCAGAGTATAAAAGTTTGCAAGCTCATATCCTTCATATCATATAGCTGTCGTTTAATTGACATCATAAAGATAACAGCTGTACAAATAGATATATAGTTGGAACATATTTTTCTCCTTGTAAAATGACGCGGAACAAAACAGGCCAAACAACAATTTCACGAGAAAACAATATTCCTGGTCTCGTTCCGAAACTTTCCTTGTTTGATGAGTCAATGAAACTCACTCGTAGATAGATTAAAATCTCATGTCATGTAGCTCATAAAAAAAGAAAAGAAAAACTCATTCTGAACTAGTTTATTGACGGCAATATTAAAAAGCTTTCAATGAAACTTTTGATAGTAAAATCTCCGACAATTAAGTTTTAATTGTGTAAGTTGTGAAACTTTTAAATGATTTTAATTGTTCGTGTTTGTTACATTGTTTTATTATAGTTGTAACTTCTTCCAAAGCATGAGTTTGTTTATTGTCAAAAATTTTATTTTCCGAATTTAATGGATTTTATGATACTTAAAAGAAATTGACACTTAATTCATAATTAATTCATTTAAAATGTTATCAAATTTTCCTATATTTGATTTAATGGTTGAGTTTTCAATTATCATTGAAATATTGGAAAACTAGTTTTAATTGGACCTTTTCTAGAAATTCTCGGAAAAACAGTTCATTCATTATCAAGAACTTTAAGCTACAGTTTTTACTGGTCCTCCGGATCAGACTTATCAAAACGCTTGATGAAAACATAATAATAATAATGTGTGAAGGGCCCAGCCTTTCAGCTGCAGGTACTGCGACTCAAATTAGAACAGAATCTATTGTACCACACCCTTTAGACCTACAGTTTATAGTGGGATCCGAACCACTTGCAAGCTCTGCACTTGCAAAGACACAAGTACGTCATAAGACCTGATGTACCCTGCAATGTACCTAGTCACAATTCGTGTGCGCAAGATGCCGTAAGGAAGTCATCCAGATGCTAGTATATCCTTGTATACCTAGCAAAGGAGGCACATCCTGTGCCAAAGACATCAATACTACACCCAACACACGAACCGAGCTTCGTAACTAGAACGGTGAAATGGAAAAAGAGCTTCGAAAATTAGACATGGCCTAAGACTGAACCCAGGACCTTTGGCACAGAAGGCCAACGCTCTACCATAAAAACATAAAATTCAGAAACAAATCATAATTATTCATTTTTATTTAAAGCTTTCAGTTGAATTAAATTTACTAAAATACCTGAGAAGTCCTTAACGAGAATCTTCAAAATTTAGAAATAGCGATAACAGACAAATTCATTTCCAATATAAGTTTTAATCCAAGAAATAAGTCTTGATATTCTTGTAAATACCAAAGGCTGAACATTAGTTGATTGAAGTTGAAGATTAAATAAACCGACTAAAAACTTTTTGTCTCCTGATGTGTAGAAAAGAGCTGTTCCTGGATATTCAGGGTAAATTTCTGAATTATTGTATCTGTTCAGACAAAGTTGAGAACTCGATAGGGTTAATGTTTTGAAATATGGTGAACATTTTGAGTGTGCCATAGAAATTGCATTGGTATTTTGAAGAAACTGCTGAAGACCGTCATTGCTGGAATATAAATAATTTGATCAAAAAAAAAAAAAAATCAAATCAATCCTTGTGGTCATTTTTCAAAAAAAAGGAATTCCAGGAATTTCTATTGCTTTTTCTTGCTGAACACCCCCCCGGACGTCATAAGTGATCGGCCTTACATTGGTTTGTTGCTGTTTAAGTTAACTTACTTATACTTGTTCCATCCAACAATCTCCAAATTCCTCTTTTCATAAAATTCCTCATCATTGAATGATGCAGATAATGGTAAGCAGACTGGTGAAACAGCTCGAGTGAATGTCATGGGTAGTTTTGTTGTAATTATCGCAATATCATAATGCTGTGATGCTGTAGTATCTGCATAACTTTCGTGAGCTTTTATATTGCTGATTTCATACATGTCGGAATATAAAAGTTCATCATCTGATGGATATTCCTTGTAGCCAGTAAGGATTTGAAGCGTTGTTGCTACATTCTCTGATTTCTTGTAATAGCAGTGCGCTGAACTTACGATAAACATTGAAGTAACTGAAAAACAGAATAATTTAATAAATGCTTTAAAATGAGTCATGATGGCTTAAATTCATGCAGAACTGATTTAGATTCGACGGGTATTCACTTACTTATCACACCCGTACATACAATTTCATCCTTTTCCATATGAAGAACCGCAATCGTTGATGTATATCCTTTGAATGTCCTCGAGCTTTCCATTTTGCCATATTTCTAAAAACATAAAATAATGTTCCTTACAAATCACATCCACAAGATCTTAAAAGCTTACATAATACAATCCCCATCCACAATTACAATTTTCATTTCGGATTTTCACAGCATTCACAAAAACTTGAAATCTCCCTTGTCCAGCGATGTCGGAAACGTAACCGACAGACATTTGGTGACCAACACTATCTAAATCTATTGTGTCTGTTCCACAAAAAATGTCAGCATCAGAAAATTTCTTGTTTCCATTTCGTGAAATAAAAAATCTTTGTCCCTGCCCAGAGCAGTTTGGGATACGAATTTTCAAGTCAAGTGATATCATGCCAGTTACTCTCACAATATAACCGTGAGGCGCAACATATTGCACAACACAGCTTGTTCCTGCTGCATATTTTATTTTCGTATCATATACACTATAGTTTGTACTTTGGAATGTGTGTGTTTTTGATGGGGTTAAATTCACTGTCGTATCACATCCTTCAAAAAGAGATGCCACGTATACAGAATTGTAAATTATTATAATTAATAAATTTTTTAACAAGCACTGCATCAGCATCTTACCTTATACTACCGTCTATTAAAATAAAAATGATAAAAAAAGTTCAGAAATATTGTATATAAAGCATTAATGTTTTTAAAAACAGACGATTAACAGTTGTACAAATAAATAAAGCGACGACTGTAAGACGTTGACAAAGTAGTAATTGTTGGGCTAAAATTGGTGGTGAAGGTTGGGGTTATCATTTTGTCGCATTTACACTTCCCTATAACTTGAGTGAAATCGGCACTAAAGTTTTATCAACAATTTTCGAAACTTTTGTGCATTGATATGGCCGGACAATTATGTCCGTGATTATTTGAATTTGTGTTATTTATCTTCTTAATAATAATTAACTCTTTAGTGGAATTTGAAGTTGATAATTTAAATATTTTATTGATGGACCGGGTATTTCCTTTCACAAAACAAATATTTAAGTCTAGGCAAAATGTGAAGTCAGTTTGTTTTTGTAAATATATTCACATATTGATTTGCATTCGATTTGAATCATCTGGGTTTACTGGATCTTTTTTTTATAAAAAATCTAGCTTGATCTATAAATAAGTCTGTTGGTTTTTGGTAGAATTTAGTGACAGACCGAAATGGACTCTTGCGCAAAAATGGTGCAGTTGTATAGCCTATCTATAAAACCGATTCTAAAAAAGTTACATTATGATTCACGACAAAAAGTTGTGATTTCACTTCTTCTCCTCCCCCTCAGTCTTGTTTGGAAGTATCACACAACAACTCTCTTATAAAAATGCTAAAATGATTTTATATCTATATTAGCATTCTTTATCATTTATAATTACCAGATATGTTTTAAAATGCAATTTAAAGCATTTTTATTTATTTTAACCCCTCTTTCCCTTCCACCAAAAATTTCCCTGTGCTCTGTACCTATTCAAATCAATTGTGATCCAGAGATGCGATAGGACGTTTCGTAATGAGAATTTAATGAGTGAGGATCAAGAGTGTGGAACTGAAGAATTACATTTTGAACATTGTTGATCATTTCATCAGTACCACACCCTTGGTGAGGATTCGACGGACCACTACACTCAAACCTCCTACATTTTATAGTGGGATCCGAACCACTCTTTTGATGACATTTCTGCCTGTAACCTACAAAGTAAGACTGTGAGCTTCATTTACAGTTCAAATTGTTCGAAAAAAAGAACAAGTGAAAAATTTTCCATGTCGAGTCTTGAACCCATGATCGCTTTGCGGTATTACAATAATTAAATACCGAAGTACGAAACCAATTCTCCACCATGCCACTTCAGCTCACTAATGTCAAAGTTCCTATAATTAATGAAAAACCAAGGCGTTGAAACTCAGAATTAATCCTGAAAAGTTCAAAAACATCCTTGAACCAATAAACATGGAAATGTGAAATATTTTTAAATCCCTGATACATTTGATGAATAATTTCGGGATTTCACAAATTCATTTTTAGGATTTTTTGAATTTTTCAGGATCAACCATGAGTTTTCACGCTTTGTAAAAAACTTATCTTAACTCGGCATTAACCTCCTATGTCAATATGAAAATCATTTGAATATTTGCTTCAAGCTTGATTTAATTATTAAGAGTTACGGCGAATAGCCTTTTTAAGTTTTATCAAGCTTGTTTATTGAAATTTAAGAGAAAAGGCACTTTAGAAAATTCAACAACCATAAGTTTGTACTTGTTTTAATTTTATTTCACTTATTGCACAATTGTTTGATTTTACGTCCATATGGTACGAGACTTTTGTTTTTTGTGATAAAGAAAAAAAAAACCACTTGAATTGTTCCATTTGTTCTACATTAATTGAAAGAAACCTTATCATATGAAGAATAGAAAATTCGTGCCAATACCATTTCGTGCAACATGTGCTATTTTTTCCTCATATATAAATTAGAAGCACTTCCAACGAGAATGATTCATTTGTTAAATTATATTTTGTGAGGATCAATTAATACTTACGTACAAATTAAATCAATCGAGTTAGACGACAGTTTATTTTTGGTCATAGCTTGTTACAAAACTTAAATTTGCAGACTCAGTAGAGGTTGAGACTTCAAAACGATTCGTTGTCCAAAAAGAAATTTAAGTGAAAAAATTAAAATTTTAAAAATCAAAAAAATTGAAAATTATATAAAACATAAAAGCACTTTTAGATGCTCAAAGAAGCTTTATTCAAAAAAAAAATAATTTACTAAATTTAATTGCAACTTTTACGGTTTAAATATCAATAACCATGTCTAGTGCACTTGAACTTGAAAAAATATTCTTTATCGTGTTTTCATTCATTGTGAATTCAAATTGTGGACGAGTTTGTTTACGTTCATTGACAACTGTAACTGGAACATTGGCACCGTCGCAATTTTGTTCTGGCGATGTGATTTTTGAGGATAATTTTAATGATCTTAATCAAAATATTTGGTACTTAGAAAATAGTATGGGAATTGGTGGTGGCAGTAAAGAATTTCAATGGTATGTGAATGATCCAATGAATGCCTATACAGAAGAAGGAATTCTACATATTGAGCCGACATTTACAGCTGATTTGTACGGAGAAGAATTTTTATACTCTGGTCATGTCTACATTCCACCAAATAAATGTACACAAAACATTTTCAATGGATGTAACAAGACTGGTGATCAGGACAACATAATAAATCCTATTCGAAGTGTCAGAATGAATACGATGAAATCATTTGCATTCAAGTATGGAACTGTTGAAATACGTGCTAAGATACCGACAGGTGACTGGCTTTTCCCAGCATTATGGCTAAATGTGAGTGCTAATTGTTTAATAATTATTAAACTTATAACTGCCTTGATAGTGTCAAGAGGTGTCAAAAATCTTTTAATATTTTAATTTTTTTGGGTCTTGTCCAAATTGTCTCAAGTATCTTAAGTAAATCCTAGGTCAAATTAAATCGTTTTTTTGTCTTATTTGACGATTTGAATACTTTGCTTCCTTGAAATTATAAATATTAATTTTTCCTAATTTTAGCCTCGTTTCACAAAATATGGACCATGGCCAATGTCTGGGGAAATTGATCTTATGGAGAGTCGAGGGAACCAACAATTGTATAGCGGATCAGTAAATGTTGGAACAGAACAAATCTCAAGTACCCTTCATTTTGGACCAGCAGCTGGAATTGATGCTTGGAAAACAGCACACTGCTCAAAAAACTTAGAAATTAATGGATACAATTTTGACTTTCATATTTATAGACTAACATGGACACCCGCTGGCTTTGAGTTTCATGTTGATAACACTTTAATTGGTATGTTGTTAAGGTTTAATATCCTTGATAAAAATAAATGCTTTAATCTAAAACTTTAGGTGTAATTGACGTTGAGGATGGATTCTTTAAACGAGGACAGTTTGATAGCAGTAATTACTCTGATCCTTGGGTTAATGGAACCAAAATGTAGAAACATTAATTGAATTTTTTTAATTATCTCAACTGTTTAAATTAATTTTTGATTCTAGGTCTCCATTCGACGAGGAGTTTTATGTGATAATAAATTTAGCAGTTGGAGGTACAAGCTTCTTCAGTGATTTCTTCCAAAATTTGCCACTTCCGAAACCAGTAAGTTTTAGAAAATGATTTTAAGATTTGTGCATCTATAATTTATTTATTTTTTTTTAAATTAAGTGGCTGAATACTTCAAAACGACCTGCTGCAGAATTTTGGGAATCAAGAGATCAATGGTTGGAAACTTGGAAGCTAAACGATACAGATGATTCACATTTTCAAATTGATTATGTAAGGATTCGAGCTTTGTAGGTTGATGTGTTAAGAGTTTTGTGGTAATAAAATAAAATAAAATAAAATAAATGATGTCACACTTTTGGAAATGATGTCATTTATGAACGAACCTTAACTTAATTGGTGTCAGTAAAATTAAAATTATTTTTGCACAATTGTCCTACCTCAACAATCTGATTGAAATTTATAATCACTTAAAACATAAGACTCAAGGTTTTTCTTTACAAAATAATAAAACTTTTGAGAAAGTTTTAATTGAGGTTTTGGAACCTCTGGTGCAAATTAAATCAGAGAAAATTCGCTCATATTTTAATTTTCTCACTCAACCTTCTTTTTTCAATAATAACAAGAGTATGGAAATTTCATTGTTATTAATTATAAGATTTTAATTGCCGGAATTACCAATAATATTATTCTCAATTTATGTTTTGGTCATTCTTTGAAATTTGTGAAAGACATTTGTTAAAGTACAACAATGTTCAACGGCAATTAAATGAATATTTTAAAAATAAAAAAAATATTTCAAAAAATTTCCTGTGTAATTTTGCAAATTTTTAATATCCATAAGTTTTGAATCTTGTTAAAGCAACACTATTTTAAAATGATTCTTAGAAATGTCATTAACAAAGCAGAACATCTAGAGTAAATATTTGACCAAGGGTCAGACACTCCAACAGAATTGTAAAGATTGTACAATTCTTCACAATCCATATGGAAGAATTGTAAAGATTGTACAATCCTTACAATCCTTACAATCTTTATATGAGAAGGATTGTAGGGATTGTAATCCGTACAATCCTTATATGGAAAGGATTGTAAAGATTGTAATTTTTACAATCCTTTCCATATAAAGATTGTAAGGATGAAATAATTGTATGGAACATTTAAAAATGTTTTTCACGGGTTATTAGAGAAGAAATATTAATTTAATATTAAAAATTTATTTGTTTGAATTTAAAGAACGAAATAAGCTTGATATATCAATTTTTTCATTTATAACCAGGTTGGGTAATTTAAATCAAATATCAAAATCAAAATCTTTTTGCAATGATTTTAAAAAGGATTTTGATTTAAATCATTTTTTCAAAGGGATTTTTTTTTTCGATTTTGATTTAAATCTCTTGTATAAAAGATTTTATTGGGATTTTAAAATCCCTCCATGCAAGATTTTTGTATTCAATTTCTCAAATTATTTTTCAAATCAACAGTTTTCAGTTGCAGTTCCTAATAAGTAAGAATGCAGTTGATCCTTTTTTGGCCAGAATCTTGCAACTGGATCTTTTAGATCCAAAAATTTCTTAAAGAAAGGTTACAGCAACCAATAGTTCCATGCTGTTTGACTTGAACGAAATCCAATTCGTGATTTTTTATCTTCTGTGCCTTGCTGCTTGCATATAAATAACTGGACTTTATCAATCATGCCTGGATCTTACTTCATATGAGGATTTACCTGCTTTAAATCCTTTAAAAAACTTAAATATCTTTTATTACAGTACGTTAGTTTAATGAGTCATAAGCAAGAATAGGCACTTGAACTGCCTGGTTCCTTTACATCCACAAAAATTTTTTTGTTGCTTTTTCATCAAGGATTCACGTCTTGAAATCAAAATTTTTTTGCGGAAATGGCCGGTTCCTTTCGTACATCAAGGCACAAAAGATAAAAAACACGAATTGGATTTCGTTTCAGTCAAACAGCATGGAACCATTGGTTGCTGTAACCTTTCTTTAAGAACTGCTTGGATCTAAAAGATCCAGTTGCAAGATTCTCGCCAAAAAATGATCAACTGCATTCTTACTTTAGGAACTGCAACAGAATACTGTTGATTTGAAAAATAATTTGAAAAATTGAATACAAAAATTTTACATCGATGGATTTTTAAATTCCAATAAAATCTTCCATACAATAGATTTAAATCAAAATCCCAAAAAAAAATCCCCATACAAAAATGATTTAAATCAAAATTTCTTTTAAAAATCATTGCAAAAAGATTTTGATTTTGATTTTTGATTTAAATCACTCACCCTGTTCACCGGTGTAAAAATTATACTTTTTACAACTTTTTATTGAGCTGAAATGTATAAAAAATCATTCGAATTGATTCACGGTAAATTATTGCATTTTAAATATAATTGTTTTCAAAGAAATTTCTGACTTTCTTCATTTTTTGTATTTTATCTTATTTTTTAAAAATAAATGGACATTATTTTTTGTTTAGTAAGGATTGTACAATCCTTACAATCCTCATATAGAAAGATTGTAGGAATTGTACAATCCTTACAATCCTTATATGAAAAGGATTGTAGGGATTGTAAGGATTGTACAATCCTCACAATTCGTATGGAAGGATTGTAAGGATTGTACAATCCTTACAATTCTGTTGGAGTGTCTGACCCTTGTATTTGACCTTATCTCATTCAAACATCTCCACCTTTACATGGGGAATTTTAATCAGTTTTAGCATGTATATAAATACAAAACAGGCGTTCCTCTCTCAGAATCTATTCATTCAGTCATCATAATAGCAAGCAAGATGACTTTAATTCAAACAGTTATAATTTTAATTCCTTTGATTAGTGCCAGTTTCGGTTGTAATCCATCAGTAACGAAAGCAAGTGGATCAAAAGCTCCAAGACAAATATGCTCTGGTCAGTTGCTTTTTGAGGATAATTTTGACTCATTAGACAAGTCAAAATGGAAGTTTGAGAACACAATGGCTGGTGGAGGCAACTGGGAATTCCAATGGTATCCAGGTCATGATAGTAAGAATGCTTATACAAAAAATGGAAATTTACACATTGCACCGACAACAACAGCAAGTATTTTTGGTGAAAATTATTTGACATCTGCTCGAGTTGTTATCCCAGCAGATCAGTGTACGTGGAGTGCTGATTATGGTTGTGATAGAACTGGAAGTCGAGATCATATTATTAATCCAATAAGAAGTGCAAAAATGGACACAAGAGATTCATTTTCTTTTAAATACGGTACAATGGAAATACGTGCGAAGTTGCCTGCAGGAGACTGGTTGTGGCCAGCTTTATGGATGCTTCCAAAGAAAAATACTTATGGTGGCTGGCCAAGATCAGGGGAAATTGATTTAATGGAATCACGTGGAAATCGTGATCTTCGTGCTTGGAATAATCAAATAGGAAATGAACAAGTCAGTTCAACTCTTCATTTTGGACCAAGTCCTAGTCACAACGGTTTTTCAACAGCTCATTTTGAAAAGAATAGAAAACCTGGATACAATGATGGATTTCATCTATTCAAGCTGGTTTGGAGACCAAATAAATTGGAATTTTATGTTGACAATTCACATATTGGTACTGTTGATGCTGGAAATGGCTTTTGGGATCGAGCACAGTTATGGAATTCAGGAATGCCAAACCCATGGGCAAATAGAAGCAAAATGTAAGAATTAAATTTATTTTGTCACTTTTTGAAATCAAATATTTAAATTATTAGGGCACCATTCGATCAAGAGTTTTACATCATCATGAATCTTGCTGTTGGAGGAACTGGTGGATACTTCCCAGATAGTGGTGTAAATCAACCTCATCCAAAACCATGGTATGCTCCATAGATTTGCTTCCCATTATATTTTTAAATGAGCAATAATTTTAACAGGAAAGACACAAGCTCGAGAGCAGCAGCAGAATTTTGGGAGAAAAAGAATGACTGGTTGCCTGGTTGGAATTTAGGAGCTAACGATGATTCTCATTTACAGGTTGATTATGTTAAAGTTTGGGCGCTGTAAAAATTCATCTCCATATTATGGAATTGTATTGGTCCCAATCAAGGCGTGGAAACTACCCCAAATATCATATTTATCCCACATATCCCAAAAATAATCAAAAAATTCCTGAGCATGTTTGCGCGATAATAAAGATATCCCAACGTATCCTTAGTGTATTCGAAGTGTAATTTCAGGATATGATGGGATATCTCAATTCTAATGCATACAGGCTCAGGGATTATTCTGAATATTTTTGGGATATATGGGATATTTGGGATATTTGGGATAGTTTCCACGCCTTGGTCCCAATTTATAGAAATAATTTGAATAAAACAAAATAATTTTTTGAATGCAGCTGAATAATTTTTCTTTATTATGTAAAACAGGTAATTGATGAGTCGCTTCTTTAATAACCCGACTCAATATGAAGTTATATAAATTGCTTTATAAATTGCAATAAAATTAAGAAACTCATTTTTAGTTCTTTACGAGATTCAATTGACCCATAAGCTTATGTAATGACACCTGTGTTAACAATAATTGGCACTGACCAATACATAATCATTTGCTGTATTAATATTAAGAGTGATATTTATGTTTGGGACTGCATTTTATTAAGGTTTTATGTAACATTTTTATCCTTATTAAAATTCACATAAAGTTTGACAGTTTATTTTTAATTTCTCTTGAGGACAATTTAGACACGAGCTTTATATCATTGTGCTGTGGGCGGCATCAATTCCATTGCTTTTTATTACGTCAATTCATAAAGCCCTGAAGAAAAATAACAATTTCAAAAGACTTATTTTTATTATGGTTTATATCTCAAACTTTTATCAATGACAATATTATATCAATTTATAAATGGACTCACATGCTGCATCAATATTGAAATTTGTGTTCCATCGATTCATCTTATTAATTCATCGACATCATGAATTATAAATAAGCAAACACACGCGTTACAGAAATATGAATGACAAAATTGTAAAGTCTTAGAATAATGAAGGAAGGCTTGTTGGTAAATAAAGCACAAAGAAGCATACCGCATGTTTATGTTCTTGAGTTGTCAACAGGTTAATGATAAAAATTTCTTCTTGTTATTAAACAGTTCTATTATCTACACAGAAGCTTACCACAAGTGAGTGAAAATTCTTATCTAAATTAATGACTTATTGTTCTTGATAAAAACCATCAAACTTGTTGAAAGATTTCATTTTTGTCTTATCGTTGCTTATCGAACTTAAGTATCAGAGACGCGAAAATATCACGAGATGATATAATGGAACGAAGAACTGTATAAATTGTCAACAATTTCTTTAAACATTTTTAATTTTTCATTTTCGTTCGGCAGAGAAACAGTGAAAGATGAAAGGTGTATTAATTGTTTTGTTTTGTGCTGTTGGAATTGTGTACGGTTGTACTCCATCCGTTACTAGAGTATCTGGGACGGTAGCTCCAAGTAACTACTGTTCTGGTGATATTATCTTCGAGGATAATTTCAATAACATCAATTTCACAAATTGGTTCTTTGAGAATACATTAGCTGGTGGTGGAAATTGGGAATTCCAATGGTATCCAGGACATGACTATGCAAATCTGTATTCAGAAAATGGATTTTTGAAATTTGCGCCAACTTTTACTGCTGATCGTTATGGTGAAGCTTTTCTCACCTCTGGAAGGGTTGTGATTCCACCAGATCAATGCACACAAGCTGACTGGTATGGATGTGAACGTACAGGAACTGCTGAAAATATAATCAATCCAATTAGAAGTACAAGAATTGATACACGACAATCTTTTGGATTTGTGTATGGAGAACTTGAAATTCGTGCAAAAATGCCTGCTGGTGACTGGTTATGGCCTGCACTTTGGCTTATGCCACAAAATAATGTCTATGGAGGATGGCCACGATCTGGTGAAATTGATTTAATGGAAATGCGCGGTAACAGAAACTTATTCAGTGGCTCCACAAATGTTGGTGTAGAACAAGGAGGCAGTACTATGCATTTCGGACCAAACTGGAACTTTAATGGATGGCCAACAGCACATCATACTCGTAATCAACAACCAGGATTTGATGCAGGATTTCATCTTTATAGATTAAGGTGGACACAAACAGAAATTCAATTTTGGTATGATAATAATCTTGTAGGAACTGTTGCTGCAGGCACTGGATTTTGGGATCGTGGAAATTTCCATAATTCAGGATTTACAAACCCATGGGTCAATGGAACTGTTATGCAAGTCATAAATTATTTTTCCTTGAATTCAGTAAAATATTTTTGAATATCATTTAGGGCTCCATTTGATCAGGAATTCTTCATCATTATGAATCTTGCTGTTGGAGGAACAAACTATTTCTCTGACACATTCGTAAATGTTCCAAACCCCAAACCATGGTAATTGTTGAATGATTCAATATGGAATCAAAAATAAAGATTTACTTTCTTATTAGGCATAATGACAGTCCAACAGCACCACGTGATTTCTGGAGAGGACGCACTGCTTGGGAACCAACATGGAATCGTGGAACTGAAGATTCATTCATGCAAGTCGATTATGTTAGAGTTCGAGCTTTGTAAAATCAATAAATAAAATTTCTGAAATTAAAATGTTGATCTGAAGTTTTTAATAAATAATTTTTTTTATTATTGTTTCCATTTTAACCTTGATTAAAGCCTTTAATTAGGAAAAAAAGCTTCAAGTTATTTCTAGATTAGTTCAATCTCATGCATTGAAGTCTAGGTGGTAGGAAATTCTATTATCAGCCGCTATCAGCTTTAAGTACCTCTGTACTAATTAAAAATACTTTCAAAGCTTAATTTATATCTTCAACTTAACACTCAAACTTTATTTTTATCAAGGAATAGTATTCGCTCGTCACTGACAGCCGTCAATTTCTGATTAGATTAAAGTCCGTTTATTTCTGGTTTGATATTTTCTTCAGACAGCAGGAGTCTACCACCTATGACTGATATTAATTATCACTTATTATTAAGTACGTCAAGTTAATTTTTGTGTCAATTTTATCGTGAGAAAATGACAGCGATTTTCTTATTTTTAAACAAAATACTTTTATTTCAGTTGCCCAACACGCATATGGCGTCGTACAATGAGTTTAATTGCGTTCTATTATTAATATAATAATTCTTGTTTTAACCAACTTTAACTCATATTTTTGACACTTTAATAAATTTCTAAATTGACGTCGTGCTTACTTTACTGGGTGATCTTTATTGATGCTAGTCCAGAACAGCACAAGTCGATTAATCGAATAGAAATCCGGCACAAAGCTAGCATGACTCAGGTATGGTGCTGGCTTTGATTTAAATCTAGCACCATGCCAGAGTTACGCTGGCTTGGTGCTGGATTTCTGATCGATTAACTGACTTGTGCCATTCGAGAGTTATGCAGGCAATGGCAAAATTGTTACTTTGTATTACTAACATAACTTAACCACAGAATTGAAAAAAGAAATGGGATCATTGTATTAAAAATATATGCGGTTTTAGATGCAGGCTGGGAATTTTCCAAATTAACGCAGTGCCTCCGAAAAAAAATTCTGCATTCCGAAATTTTTAAAGAGTATTTCTGAAAGAAAAAGCTTTTCCCTTAGCTAATTATGTCCGTCTCGAATTTTATTTAAATTTTTGATTTGAATCTAATTTAAATTTTGTATCATGCCAGCAGAGAGTCCAGAGCAAAGGAACATAATTGAAAAGTTATATTTTTACAACGTAAAGGGACAAAGTTTCATTCATTCAGCATAAACACGCGAGTGGCATGTAGGTATCATTGGTGTTACGATAAGATTAAAGTTCCTTTGGGTCTTCTTGTTGTTTAAGTAATTCTAAGTAGATTAATCTTTTTAACCGGTTGAGTTGTATTTTTGTCTTATCAAAGTTTGTTGGGAACGTGGAATTATCACGAATTGAAAGAGTGGTACAAAAAGTTGTATAAAATGCTGAGAATTCATTCATAGCTTCACAATTTCATTTTACAATCAAACGTGAAACATTGTGGAGAAGTAAAAATGAAAAGTGCAGTGCTGTGTGTTTTAATTTGTGCCGTCGGAATCTCCAATGGTTGTGTACCATCATTAACAAAAGTATCTGGAACTGCTGCTCCTCGTACATACTGCTCTGGAGATATAATTTTTCAAGATGAATTTAATTGCATTAATAGTCAAAATTGGTTCTTCGAGAATACATTAGGTATGGATATACTTTGTGATTTGTGAAAGAAAAGTGATTTATTAATATGTTAAAATAATATAGCTGGTGGCGGTAACTGGGAATTCCAATGGTACCCTGGCTTTGATCCAGAAAATCTTAGAGCTGAAGATGGAGTCCTTAAGTTTGTTCCAACCTTAACATCTGAACGTTTTGGTGAAGCTTTCTTAACTCAAGGACGTGTTGCAATTCCTCCTGATCAATGTACACAAGCTGACTGGTATGGATGCGATCGTACAGGAAATGACAACAACATTATCAATCCAGCCAGAAGTATTAGAGTTGATACACGAGAATCCTTTGGATTTGTTTACGGTGAACTTGAAATTCGTGCTAAAATGCCTGCTGGTGACTGGTTATGGCCTGCACTTTGGCTTATGCCTATGCATAATGTTTATGGAGGATGGCCTAGATCTGGTGAAATTGATTTGATGGAAATGCGTGGAAATAGAAATCTCTTCGATGGTGCTACAAATGTTGGTGTAGAACAAGGAGGCAGTACTATGCATTTTGGTCCAAACTGGAACCATAATGGATGGCCAACAGCACATGGAACACGCAATATACAACCAGGTTATAATTCAGGATTCCACAACTTTACATTAAGATGGGAGCCAACTAGAATTACATTCCTTTTTGATGGTGATGTTGTTAATACAGTTGAAGCTGGAACTGGCTTTTGGGATCGTGGTAATTTCCAGAACTCAGGATTTGCAAATCCATGGACAAGAGGAACTGTATTGTAAGCACTTATTCCATAGATTTATGTAAATTTATACTAATATTATGCTTAATATTTTTTATAGGGCTCCATTCGATCAAGAATTCTACATCATCATGAATTTGGCTGTTGGCGGTGTCAACTTCTTCCCAGATCATTTTGTAAACAGAGACGGTCCTAAGCCATGGTAAATAGGCACTTAAACCAGTATATTTTAAAATAACTTATTAATAATAATTATCAACAGGAACAATGGAAGTCCAACTGCATTACGTGATTTCTGGAGAGGCCGATCATCATGGGAACCAACATGGAATCGTGACACTGAAGATTCATTCATGCAAATTGATTATGTTAGAGTACGAGCTTTATAAAATGTGAATAAAATGTTTTAAAATATAAACTTTATCTTTTATTGAACTTTTGACTCCATGAGTTCACCGAATGATTTACTTACACTCTTGGCTTATTTTTATAGGAAAAAGAAGAATTCAACCACTTGTATCAGAAAAGTGATAAGTAAATTATCTTTGTATTAATGAATTTATGGTAACGAATCAGTTTAAGGGAATCCCCAAAAATTTTATTAATTTTCATTACGTAAAGTTTGTTTTTATTGTCATTTCTGTACAAAAACAAAAAAATTCAAACATTTACATGATTCACAAACGAAATTCAACTTTAATCGAATCATGAAAACTGATGATATAAGCTCAGGTAATCTACTCTCATGGTGTGAAATCGGTATCAATTTGTTGATAACTTCTATGCACGTGGTAGCTTGTTGTGAATTATATGATTACCTCTTGTTGTTATCGTAATATTATTGGAAAAAAGCAGTTGTCAATAATGTACATATAGCGCTTAAATCTGCTTAAATATATTGCGTGGTTTTAATGCAATCCAGAACAAAGAAAAAAAAGGATCTCTGAAGTCTTGTGTTCTCTGTTCCCAATGAACCCGACTTGTTTTACATTTGTATCCTAATATAGCAGTTATAGGGAAATCTACACTTAGGAGCCTAAGATTCAACCCGAAATTTATTTATCTCTGTATTTTAGCATCAACAGTCTTATTACTTAAGAATCATTTCTTGATAACTTATAAAATGTCAAAATTTAATATTTGAACCGTCAGACAAAGTACAGCACAAAACATTAATTAGTCGAGAAGCTTATCAATAATTCTCACCCAATTAAGCATTAACAAAAGCGCTTAAAAAAAGATTATTTTTATCATCGTACTTCAGTCTTTATTAATTTGAACAGCAGTTAAGGCTTAAAATGAGAATTCTCGCTTTGGGATTAATATTTTATTTTATTAACTTTTCATACAGTTGTGACCCAACTGTTACAACTGCTTCTGGAAGTTTAGCACCATCAACAATTTGTTCTCGTGATTTAATCTTTGAGGATAATTTTGATGATAAAACTATAAACCAAAATAAGTGGCTGTTTGATAATACATTATGTAATATTTAATGACTGTAATTTTAAGTTTCTTTAACTATTTAAAATATTTTTCAGGGGGTGGTGGAAATAAGGAATTTCAATGGTATCCTGGTTATGACAAGGATAATGCTTTTGTTGAAGATGGAATATTGAGATTTGTTCCAACGACTACAGCTGAAAAGTTTGGCGAAGAATTTCTTTACACAGCACATGTTGTTATCCCAGAAGATGAATGTACAATTGGTTATGACAATGGTTGTGAGAAACAAGGAACTGAGGACAACATTATCAATCCTATAAGAAGTACACGAATGGATTCGAGATATGCCTTTAGATTTAAATATGGTGAATTAGAAATTCGTGCAAAATTACCAACTGGAGACTGGTTATGGCCTGCATTATGGGGTATGCCATTTTATGATACCTATAAAGGTTGGCCAAGCTGTGGCGAAATTGATTTAATGGAAGGTCGAGGCAATCGTGAACTATACGATGGTGACGTAAATACAGGAATTTATCAAATAGGCAGCACAATGCATTTTGGACCAGATGCGGGGCACAACGGTTGGCCTACAGCTCATGCTACTATTAGTCAAGTTCCAGCATTCAGTGATGGATTTCATAGATACAGATTTAGATGGACACCAACAGATATAACATATTTTGTTGATAACAAGCATATCAATACAGTCAAAGCTGGAGAAGGATTTTGGAAACGTGGTGGATGGGAAGACTCTGGTCTTGAAAATCCTTACATCAATGGAACTGTGATGTATGAAGTTGTTTTTTATTATTTTTAATCAATGACTTTAGTGATAAACACTGATTAAACTTTTAGGGCACCGTTTGATCATGAATTTTACATCATCATGAACCTTGCTGTTGGTGGAACTGCTTTCTTTCCTGATCATTGGGTTAATAAGCCTTATCCGAAACCATGGTAAAGCTGATGATTAATTTACTAATGATTCTGGGCAATAATTTCAATTTTATTAATTTTGTAGGGAAAATAGCAGCGGTACAGCACCAAAAGATTTTTGGCAAGCACGACATTTATGGGAACCAACATGGAATCGTAATACAAATTCTTCACATATGATGATTGATTACGTTAGAGTTTGGGCATTATAATCACTTTATTTCATGTCATAAAGCCAAAAAAAAATTTAAAATAAAATTAAGAAAATAGCAGAGATAGTAAGCAAGAATGAAAAAGCAAGGGTTGATGCACTACTTGAAGTAGTTGTCGTCAAAGTTTGTGTAGTTGTTGTCAAAACTTGTTCTTCTATTTGAATAGCAATAGCCTCATGTTTATCCAACACAAATTGATCCGGATTTAAGAAATCATCAATATCATAACTGGAAGTGTGAACAGCTGCTAAAATTCTTCCAATGGCATTTGGTGGTATTTCGTCAGTTCTCAAAATACTTCTGACACTTAGGACGGCACGATCACCAAGATTAATAAAGACCACAACAGGATTTTCTGATTCATATTTCCTGACAAATGCAAAGACTTGGCTGTTTATTGCCATTGATCTAAATTCTCCATATCTGAAAATGTCCTGCTTCCTCAAACTTAAAAGATGCTTATAAAACTTGAATGTACTTTTTTCAGCCTCTTTTTGTGCTTTCAAGTTTACTTCCAAATAGTTTTTGTGAACTGGAAGCCAAGTTTTTTCGGCATTAGAAAATCCAGCATGAGTTGTGTTATCCCATTGGAATGGAGTTCTTACAGGATCTCTTGTATAAAGTTGGAAGACGGTTTCATTTGTTTGACATGCATTTGGATCATCGGTTTCTTCCCAAGTTATGTCACGATTGTCTGTCATCAATATTTCTTCGCCCTTTTGATAAGAATTGTTGAATCTTTAGTTTAAAATATTATAAAAGATTTAACTTACATAATATACAACATTGATACCCGGTAACAGCATAGTCATCATTGCTAAACTCTCGTGACGATCTTCTCCATATCTATATCCAATTCTTGGTCTGTCATGATTACCTAAAACCCAGTTAGCTTCACCAAATGATGGTAATCGACTATACCATGCGTGAACAGCATCTTGGAAATCTTGAGCTGTTGAATATCTATCCAAATTAGATATCAAAGCAAAGTTGAAGGGCATATGAGATCCCGGTTGTTCTTCAGTCCCGTACCATTTGATTTGCTTATCAATATCAGCATAAGCTTCTGTCATCATGAATATCTTTTCAATTCCATTCTCAGTAGCGTAATCTTCAAAAAGTTTTCTCCACTTGAATATAACCTCATAAGACTCATCTAAATCTCGGGTGTGCGTATGATTTAAGTTGTCGTAGTGTGTAGTATCTCCATCTTCGTCAATATATTCTTCATCAGGAAATCCTTCAGTCTCAAACATATGATTTATGGCATCAATTCTAAACTGACACGTGATTTAAAAGGTATTTATAATAAAATAATAATACAAAACGAGTTAAATGTGTTCAAACGTAACAAAAGTTCCTACATATCAAATTTCAGCTTTTTTGGATAAAATACAACAAAGAGAGGACTAAAATGAGTTAAGCGTATGTTCATGCCCATAAAATTTCAAAATGGCGTTGGTTCCATATACAGGAACAGCCCAGGAACAATGTCAACTTACACCGTTAACACCTTTACCCAACCAAAACAAAAGAACTTCTTCTAGAGCCTTAACAACGTCTAGATTTCGATAATTTAAGTCTGGTTAAGCTGCAAGGAACTGATGAAGATAGCATTGATTTCGTTCTGCATTATAAGTCCATGCGCGAGTGTGGAAAACTGCGATCTAAGAAATGTGAAAAAAAATTTTATATAAATTTTAAGGTTCTGAAACTTAATTAAAGTTCAAAAGTTTGAGAACCTCTGTTATATTTAAAGAATGAGTAGTTAAAAGTTCTATTCATCCATTACTCCGAAAAAAATCATTTATAGCTTGTAAGCAAGGAAACTGTGATGTTAAAAATACACACCCAGTTATTAGGATATTCAGTGATTATGTTTGTTCCATTTTCTACTGTACAGTTTTTCCAAACGTAGAAATTTTCAAAACCAGTTTCACGTCTCACAGATTTTTGGAACCATTCATGCTGATCAGATGTATGATTCGGGACCTAATATTATAAACAGTGTTATTTTACTAATATTTCAGTTATCAGTCAAACTTTATTACCAAGTCTAGAAGTATTCTTAATCCTAATTCCTTTGCTTTTGCAAAAAGTTCTTCTAGATCCTCATTCGTTCCAAAACGTTCATGAATTTTCGTGAAATCAGCAATATCATAGCCACCGTCTTAATTACGTGGAATAATTTGAAATTTTTTGGATTAAAGTTGATTGATTGTTAAAGCGATAAAGCTGTTATTCAATAGAACAATATAATTTGACTCACCTTTCATCGGACTCTTAAAAATAGGATTTAGCCAAGCACCTGTTACACCGAGTTCTTTTAAATGCTCAAGCTTGTTTATTATTCCTCTTAAATCACCCTCACTAGTATCATCACTATCCATAAAACTTCTCGGGTAGATTTGATAAAACTACAAAAATTCACATTTCTTTAAATTCCAAATGTATCCACATGTGCATAAAATATTTGAACCGTACCACACCAGATCTCCACCATTCACCGTTATCATCTCTAGTTTTGTCAACTTTCTTATTATCTATTACATGTGCTCCTACAAGCACAAGTGATAAAAGTACTAGAATCACAATTTTCATTTTTTTTCTCTTCACTTCACTTTTATTTAATTTCACCACAGCACTTGATGAACTACTCAATTGAGTCTTAATTGCTGCGGCTTTTATACTTTACCAAAAATTTCATTTTATCAGCTATTTAATAAAGTACTTAATATGTAGCGTAATAGTGATTTTAAAAATTTATTGATTGGTGATAAAAAGGTCTTATTTCCAGTTGTAGACTGTCTTATTTTTAAGGAGCTGAATGAAATTTAATCTTTTTGATAAGATATCACTCCTTTCACGTTAATTTCTTTATCAATGTTTTGTTTTGACAATTGAAATGTGGTGTAATGAATGCAGTAAAGATTTTAATTGGTTTTATATCAAGCAATTTTGTTGCTGTTTACCCCCACCCTTTTAAAATAATCGAATAAATACATTTGTTGTATGTAGTGTCACATAGCTTCAGACACCACTCTCCCAAGAGTTAAATGCCATTTGAGAATGTGTGTTCGAAGGCACATGTTGAATTGAATATCAATAATTTTTAATATTAAAGAAAATATCATCACAGTTTACTTTGAAGTATTGTGAATTTGCGTTGATTTTTTGTTGTAATTAAGACTTTGATTCAAATCGGACTTAAACTACACTCGTTGGTAAAAACCTTGATCTACAGTTTTATGTGTAGTTTTAAATAAAATTGGATTAATCAAACTTGTACTTTTAATCGGATAACTTAGAAAATTATTTTGTATCACAGCCCCTTTGTTCAATTTATCACGTTCGTTTTTAAGGGGGATATGGGAGGGAGGTCTAGGAATTTGTAACAGCTCAAACAAAAGAAAAATATGATGTTTGTAACAAGGGGGTTAGTGGATGTGTTTTAAAAGTCGTTTTTTTGTGTAACGTAATAAGTGATCGAGCTCAAATAAAACAAGCGCATTCCAGCAGAAATTCAATTTAGAGGTTGTACCAGCAAGACTTCATAAGATTAACAAACTTAGAAATTTCTGAAATTTTTTGAAAATGCCCTGAAAATCTTAAAAAGTTCAAAAAGGTAAGTTCAACAAAAATCAAATTCTTATCAAAAATAGAGAGAAGTTTTTTCTTTATTAAAAAATTTAAATCAACTTTTTATCTGTTCAACGTGCTTTCTCAAAGTCAGTCTTAGAACTTAGAATTTTTTTTACAGAAACCAACAATTCAATATGAGTTGAGTCTAAATGTTTCATTAAAATATATAGAAAAATAATAGTAAAAAACATTAAATAATTAATTTTGCTAGGAATATTTTCAATTTTTCCCCGTTCAATTCAAAAAGTTCAAATTTAAATACTTTTATAGGATATAAAAGTAGATAAGAACACTAAGGATGTGAATTAACACTGATGCTAATCTCGATGTTTCAGTCAGTCAGGATACATTTATGTTTGAACTAGCTAAACATCCAGAAAGCAACAATGAAATTTGCAAGGAATTTTTCTTACCAATTAATTTCAATTAAATATTATTATAGAACCAAAATAACACAAAATTTTAAGTCAATCTCTCTCACATCCTCGGTTTATTTCAACTAATCTTCAGTATTTTGGTTTTAGCAACCAGAAGATGCCAAATTTAAATTAAATCAAAGTTCTTGTCAACTTATTTTTAATACCTTCATTTTTTTCATATTAAAAGTTAAATGGAACAAGTTCACTATTTTCTGTAAGCGATTAATAAATCAGCCCTAGCTCGATTTAGTTAAAACTTTGTGTCACTTAAGTGTCATTTAAATTACATAAATCAAATTAAAGCAAAGCGATAATGTTAAAAAAATTAAAATTAAAACCTATTATGGCATTTAACTAAGAAAATTAAAAGTACGAAAACTTCCAAGAAAAGGAACTACTATATATTATTTTAAATAATTAAGGGATGAGAAATTTATCAACTAAACTAATTTCATCTAGATTAAAGTAATTAATTTCTGTTTAAATAATAAACAAACCATGAGTTTTGTCATTAAAAATGATTTTTGATAAATCAGAATGTCGTCACTTTTCCTAATTTTAATCCCAACAATTTTTTCCGCTTTTTGACACTTAATTTACTCCATAAACTTGCTGTTCCTTCTACCAATAAATATTCGTCTGCATAGTCGTCGGTTGCTGTCGCACCAAATAGATTTTTACCATCGTGTTCATCACCATCAGATTTCTTTAAATTCTTCTCGGATGAGCGAGACTCTGAGGTTGACACAAATCCACTCTCGGGTCGTGATAATGATCCAGCTGGGTATGATTGAAGTTGACTAAACCATCGTGCTACTTTTGCTGTTGATGTCATCTGTGGAGTGAAAAATTGAGATTTTTATTATAAACATTTTAATGAAGTTTTGTGGAAAATTTTATTTATGATGCAACATACTTTATTCCATATTTATATTAAGACTTTAAATTATGGACGAAAATAATTCTTAATACTATAGCCAACGTTATTTTATGCAAAACATCACATTTAAGAGATAAATGAGAATCGCATGTTTCTCTCGGTGAAAATTTATGCACAAGATAGGATTTATGTCGTAAAAATTGTTTAAGAACCTTTTAAAAGAAGCAGTAATGGCTATAGAAAGCTATTAAAAATTCATCCCTGCAATAAGATCCAATTTAATGATTTTTAAAATGGAATTTAAAAACAATTCAAACATTTTTGTTTCGATATCAAAACTTGAGAAATATTTGATGCTAATTGGGCTTTAAAAACCTTCGTGTCACTTTGTTAGATCTAAGATTTCATTTTAAAAGCCCCATAGAGTCTCAGGCAAGATATTAGCCTCGCAGCAAAATTGAAATTTTCCCATTAACCCTTTTAAATATGAAAATATTTTACATGTATTTTAAAACACCTTCAAAAGTCGTAAATGAAGAAGAACAAACTAAAGACTTGTAAAAAAGAGCCTTTTCACTTACCCGGAAGGACCATAAATTTCAATTTTCCTCCTCAAAAATAATTCTATTGCAAGGTAAAAATTTTTACTACACCCTTAACGCTTTGAATAAAAAAAAGTAATAGTCGTTTATTCCTTTATCGCGAATACTATGGACAAGAATTCTATTAATGTCAAATAAAATAACCAAGATTCAATTCAAAAGGTTTTTTTTTGATAATTTATTTCAACTTTTTCATACATATTTATTCTTCTGTTTTTCGATTAACAGCTTTAACAGTTCTACCTTAATATTATAATTGATTTTATTCAATTTTCTTTAATCTCATAACTTGTTTTTAAGAATTGGATAATTGTAGAATAAATGGACAAGATTCTTTTGATTTTGCTTGACATTTGAGAACTCATTTCGATCCTTTTAAAGACATTAGAATAAAGAGTTATTTATGATGCTAAGTTGAAGCTCAAATTAAGCTTTGTTAAAATTTTTAAAAAAATTTCCAAACTCTTTTTAGTCGAAACTTTGTCACAATCTTTAAGTTCCGATTTCATAAATTCTTCTGTCTCTTCAGAAAGAGAAGCTAAAGAAGCTATTTTCATTCAAACTCTTTTCAGAGATTTCAACGTTTTGTTTTCGTTTTAAATGATTTGAAAAATTTTCAATCAAAAAAATCAATTGAAACTCATCCACGATTTCTTTTAATATCCAACTCTGATTTTATAAATAAAATTGTTCTACTAAATTATTTACAAGTTTGGCAATTTTGCGAATAATTTTTTCATATTTATTATCATAATATATTAATGAATGTACACGTACATGTTTACGGAAATATGAGTTAACTTTAATTTTTTCGTATGTTTTATGCAATGAACCTTTACACGACTTTTGTCTTTTTGTAAAAATTATGTATTGTGTTATGTTTTGGGTGGGATTTACAAGATAATAATTAGTGTATTTTTTAAAAGTTTCATTACATTTTATGTTCTTTTACTTATCTGTCTCTGTTGTATAGTTAAATGTAAAAAAAATTACTTTCACAAATTTATCTAGTTATTTAAACTTTGTGCATTAATTAATGTGAAATTTTGTTCATTTTATGAACATAGTTTTGCTTTATGGAATAAAAATCTATGAAACTTTAAATTAACTTTGTTTAGATTTCATTACTTTTTGGGTCTGAACAGAACAAGTAATTCGGAGAGATGTAGATATGATTTGCTTATGTAAAATCTATTTAGGGGCCGTTCACTTATGACGTCCAGGGAGGTCAGCATGAAAATAACAATAGAAATTCCTGGAAATCCATTGTTCTTTTTTGAAAAATGACCGTTAATATTGGACGTCATAATTGAACGGCCCCTTATAAGATTCTCAGATGTATTCGATTTTTGGGTTTAAAACTCTATCCACAACATATGAACATATTTAATTGTATGCCTAATTCTAAAAATTCATCAACAAACTTTCTCAAGCTTGGTATAATTTACATGCTAAAGATGTTGCAAAAAATTCTTTTAAGCCCTGCCCAACGTGTTATATTTTCTAAATGTAAATTGTCAAAGAGTTGTGGAATTTTCTAGCTGTTAAGAACGGTCTTTTATTCAAAAATCACGTAGAAATGAAAACCTTTCCTGACAGCTGACAAGAAAATTTTCTCCATATTTTCTTTTTTGTCTCGCAGATGGTTTTCATTTCTTTCATTAAGCTCCTGTACATGAATATTTTTCCACAACAGAATATTCTATTTGGATAGAAAGAAGATATAATCTGTAGAGAAATGTTTGGGAAGTATGACATAATCATTAGCATTTAAAGCAAACCATTTCCACAAGTCTCCATCCTTTAATCTTAACTTTAATATCTGTTTAATTCATCTTGAGACTAGAAAGCATAAATACTTATCAAATCTGTGCATAAGGACTCCTTAAAATCCTCGCTATAAGTTTAATTAAATGTTATTTTGTTGTATGCCGTGCCCACGTTCTTTGAACGTCACCTAATATTTGACTACGATTTGGAACTTTTTCACTTGTGCTTCTCGTGATAAAACTCGGCTGTGCAGGAAGTTTCTTCTGATTCGTTACATTTCCTGACTCGTCAGTCACTTTTAATGTGACTGTATTGCCTGAAAAGTGTCTTCTATCACCACGGCTTAAAATTGGCGTTAATACTTGTGGCTGATTCTGTTGAGGTCTTTGTAATGTTCCGTCATCATTTGGCCGTATACTGAAAAAATCATCACCAATTCTAAATCTTGTATCACGCTTCTGCTCGACTGGCACAAGAACTTTGACTTTTCCTTCATTGTCCATCGTTGAGAACGTGCTGACCTGGGATAATGGTTTAATGAATGGCGACTCATTACTAGAACTAACATTATTATTGTTTATATTATCCAAAGATCTATCAAAACTGTCACCAATGGGACTCATAGTGGAATAGGTTGATGAGCTTCGATTCAATGTTCCAATAGGAGAGTTTGGCGCCATATTTATTATACTATTATTGTTATTATTATTACTACAACTGGTATTATTACTGGTATTTAGGCTGTTATCGTTCATGAAATTTTGATTCGCCATATTGGCAAGCATGAAATTTGTGTCTTGTGAGAAGTTTGAGGGAAGTCCTGTCGTTGGACTGGGTGTGAATGATGATGTACTCACAGCTGTTTGCATTGGTGTATATCCAACATTCAAGTTTCTCAATCGATTCAATAATTCATAATTTAATTGATATAATTCTTGTTGCTGCGTTTGCTGCTGCTGTGGTATAACTAATTTCTGTAGCTGATTATAAGCTTGCATAGTATTTTGTAGAATATTCATAGTATCAAAGTTAAAAGCATTTTGATTTCCACAATTCTGCATCATAGGGCTATTATTATTCTTCATATCATCCTCATTTGACTTTTGTGATTGAATTGGTGATGGCATCAAATTTGTTGGCGATGGTGATCCCAACAACGATAATGTTTGTAAATAAAGCGGTAATTGAGACTGAAGATTTAAGAAAAAATGAGAGAAAGAAGAAGAAATTGTTGTTGACTTACAAAAATACAGACAATGACATGAAAGATTTTTTTATTAGGTATATCAAACACATTATTTGCATGCAGTGCTATAAATTATTATTTTTTTTTGTGAAACAAAAGAAATTAAAAACTTTAATCGTCTTACCTTAACTTTCCACAGTACATCCAATTATTTTTCTTTTTACACACTAATAAAACTAACACAAAGCACATTTTCTCAAAATAATAATTGAAATAATGATCAAACAAAGCGGTTAGCGCCATCTCGTATCTGATGGCTGACTGAACAGAAAAAAAAAATCTTGGCAACATAAAACACTTTTCTTTAATCAAATAATAATAAACTATAGTAAAGTTCATCAAATGAAGAAAAAAAAATGGAAGGGGAAATAACGACAAATTTTCCGATGAAAATGATGGAAAAATCTTTTAAATTTATTACAGAAAATTTTGCGCTTCATAAATGGCATGAATTGTGTATAAGCAGCTTTAAATCACAGAGAATTTCACTCTCAAATGTCATATTTTTTTCACTCGGTTTAAAATTTTAAAATTTTGATTGTGCTGCATTTTTATGACGCTTTTGCTTAATTTTCAACAGACATCCTCAGAAAAATTCAGGCTTAGAAGCTTGTCGGTGTCTTTACTAAAAACTTCTGTAAATAGTAAATAACCACAAGATACAGTCTTTTTTCATAGAAACATTACTAATCATTTGCATGGCGACATTAGGTCTCATTAAAAATGAAGTGTCTAAGCCTGATTAAAATATCATGAAACTCACAACTCAACATTCTTCTTAAAAGCTCAATTTTCTTTGCAACAAAATCAATACAAAAATTTTTCTACCACATGCCAGGTTATTTCCCCCTTTAAATTCCAGTAAAACAGCACAATAAGAGATTATTAATTAAAATGCCAAAACATCGAGTTCAATACTCACTTGAGGTGTCATATTCATCGCTGCAGGTGTTAGAGTCGTTCGATCTGATTCATTTAATCCACTTAACGATGCAATGTGCTCTAACAGTTCTCGATTTTGTTGCAAAAGTTGCTGAGTTCTAGCCTGTTAATTAGAAGTGGGGGATATAAAATTATCTTTATAAGCAACAGGAAGTGAGAAAATGTAAGTACTTGAGCTTCAATTCTCGCATTCGTCTCTGTCAATAATTGCTCTCGGACTAATATTAACTGTGCTAAGGCTTGTTTTGTCTGCGATGTTTGTTGCTGCAGCTGTTCCCTAAGCATATGAATCTCGCGAGCATTTTCATCGGAAGACTGTAAAGGAACGAAAAAAAAAAATCAGTTTTTTTTAAATTTGTAAATCTTATAAATAGATTCTCACCTTTGTTTTTGGTGATGATGGTGTCGGTGGTGCAGTGAAATTGTTCAAAGGCAACGATAAACCTTCCAGTTGGTTTGATGTCTGTAATTTTTGTGGAGTATCTTGGAAAATTGGTGTCGATTCTAATACTGTAATAAAATTTTATATGCGATTAAGTTTAACAGATTTTTTTAAAAAAAAAATTAATATAATTTGAAGTCATAGCCATAAAATAATAAGCTTCTGGAAATCGGAATGACTTTTGTGGAATTTAAAAGAAAATGTCAGAGTTTTGTGGTTAAAAATTATCGTGGGAATTTAACTCTTTAAAATATCCGGTGATTTTGTTGAATGAATTAATTTTATTACCCTGTTAAAAATTAATTCAATTGAGTTTTGAAAGATTTACTGCCAAATTTAAATCTAAATATTTTTTTTACTTTTTCTTTTGTTTTAAATAAATCGGAAGTATTTTAACTGAGTGTTGCTGATTTTTCACCGGAAGCCAGTGTTTAACTTGCCGAAATTTCCGGATTTTCGAGAAATCTTTAACTTTTGTTATTATTAGCCAATTTAATTCCAAAAACTTGTAGTAACGTTTCTAAATTAGGAATGTAGGTAAAGGAACCAACCTCAAAAAATAACATTTTAGCCACAAAAACTCTGACATAAATAGAGCTCATCAAAATTCAATTAAAAAGTGCTCTAAAAACCTCCATAAAATTATCCACATCAACTTACATTTTTTCGGCTCATCAAAATCACTTAGATTCTGTATATCTGACTGATCCAAGTCAGAAATGATTTCAGAATTGTCATCATTATTATCCTGCTTCTTGTTATTTGAGATTTTGTGACACACTTCAAATGCCTGTCCAACAGTACGTACGACTTTCATTGCTTGTGACTGTAAGAAGAAAGTATATATGTCATTAGATTTCATCTTTACCGCATCATAAAAAAAATTACATTAACATTTTAATGCTTTTTTGTCATTAAATTTCCAAATTTTTTTTATCGATTCGAATTGCGTAATGTGTGAGGAAGCAAACAGATATAAAATAATAAAAAAATATGATTATATGTATCACCTCTACTTCAATGTCACTGAAACTATCTTCGTCTCTCGCATGGACAGTCTTGTTTCTCATTTCACGATCTCGATCATTTTTTCCTTGTGAATTGTTTCTGATTATTTTTTCTTCACTCAATTTATCGACTCTTTCACACCTCAGTGGATGCTTTTGATTCACAATTTGTTGTTCGTCGATGTCGTCGAGCATTGATGGTGGTGGTTTTTTGATTTTCGGCGATGACGGGGGTGTTTTTGATGTTGATGGTTTAGGTTCATATGAAATGTCAGTCGGTGGAGCGTTAAGTTGTTCAGCACTTTTACTCGTGTTCTCCTCCTTCTTATTTTTGAGTGCCGCAATATTTTTACTGCTATTAAAAAAGCACGAAAGTTTCAAATTATTGAGATCAATGTCAGGTACTTTAAATAGCCTATTATTTGTTAAATGAGCTTTCAAAGACTTCTTCGTTGTAGGCGTGGACGGAACAGAGTTTCCCTTTTTATCCTTATCTTTTTCTTTTGGGACCTTCTCCTTCCCAACTTTCTTTTTCGTCTTCTCACTTTCTTTCTCATTTTTCAAATCATACTCATTGGCATTTCTTGTATCATATTCAGATTCCCTTTCTGTTTCGGTTTCAACATCTTGCGTCTCAAATTCAATTTCTTCCATAATGGTGGGTGATAAGTTATTTCGATCAGAATGGTGTGATGGCAATTTTGCCTCAACCGAATGATGCCGATGAAATGTATTTGACTTTGGACTGCTCACGTTTCGCATACTTAACACGGAATCGTCATTCGACAAATTATGAATCTTTAATTTTGCTTTCATCACTTGAAGTGATGATGATTTTTCTTTCGCCATTTTCATCTCATCAACTTGTGATTGCTGTTTCTTTTTTGCTGTCGATTCTTTTTCCTTTTTCAATGTATCTTTCTTGTTCCCGCTGTTGCTCGATGTCGATAGATTTGATGATGATTTTTTTGGGTTCGATTTCGTGTTATCATTCATGTAATGAATATCGTCCTCGTCATTAAAGAGAATGTGTTTACCGCTCATTGCAGCTGATGCTTGTGGCTTACGAAGTGACGAATATTTTTGCTGACTCATTGGCGACGATTGATACCGTTGATCGTTTTTTTGTGACATTGACGCTTCATTGAGACTATATCGATTCCGCGAGAAATTTTGATTAGAGTCATAGTCATCGTACGTGTAGGAAGTGTATTTTTCATTATAACTACGTGGTCGATTGTCACCAGATGGTTTATTATTGTAATAATAATCATCAGCATATTCATCATCAAAGAATTCATCCGGATCATCCATATCATCATTAAATTGTGACTCTTGCTGCTGCTGTTGTTGTCTACTTCCACTTTGTCTTTGTCTTGAATTTCCTGCACTGCTTTTGTTACTATTATTATTATTATTATTGTTATTATTACTATTACTGTTGCCATATCTTCCATTATAGTCATCAGGAAGATTATTTAAACCATCATCGAGTGAGTGGCTTAATTCCTCCATTCGTCTCATTCTGTTTTTTCGTTGCATTGAGCTATAGTTACTACCTGTATTATATCCAGCCTCCCTATCAAACATAATATTATGTTGCATCATTTTGTCAAAATTATTTTTTCTATCGGTTCTATGATGATTGGGACTTTTTGACATAACAATTAAAACTTTCTTGACTTGTGTCTAAGTGCGTTCTTTTCGCTTTCTTTAAATTTTGAAAAATGTTTATTTTTTTGCGCTCAACTTCGTTTCACGAAATGAACTGTCTATACATCCAATTATACTTATGGTGTTTTATGTATCGTCATGTGCGTGCGTGTGTTCATAAACTGTCTGTGAAGTCTTGTAAAAAAATAATTTTTTTTTGTTTCGATATTTTTTAATACACATTCATGCATCATACGAGTATATTGATTGTTTTTTCATATTTTCTTCATTAATTGTTACTGACAATGATTAATTGAAGACAACAGCATTCATTCCAGATTGTTTACGCGATGAGGTCGAAAAGAAACTCGCGAAAATGAAAATTTTCTTCTTTTTTCACTCTCTTTTCGTGAAAAGAAAAGTGAAAACTTTCAAACTGTTTGTTTCTTTTTATTTTCCTTTCTCTGCTTTTTGTCTAAAGCATGTGCATTAATATTTGCCAATTTGTAATTTAAATGATAGTCTGTTCTCATATCGGATACCTTTTTCTTTCATCTGTGTACATTCTAATGCAATATTGTTCATGAAAAATGAAATGATTTTTTTTTTCAAGGTGTAGGCGCTGATGGTATTTTTACAGGATTTGCTTATGTGATGATATTGAAATGTTTTGTGTAATTTATTGATATTATGTGAATTTTCGAATTATTTTGGGGATCTTTGTGTGCTTCTGGATTTTTTTTGGGATAATCTACAGTGAAATGACTCAAATAATAGGTTTTTGGAGAGGTAGTCTAAGAATAATTTTCATGTCTGATTTTAAGATTGAACTGATTGGATGTCTACATGATTAAAACTATTGTCCTTTAAGCAAAGTTTGGCTATACTTTTTAATAAATTAAGGAATAATGAGGAGATTTGGACAGATTTTTGAACTTTATACAAATTCTTGGATATTTTATGATATTTGAATATTTATGACAATTTATGATAGTGTTGTAAGCTACTCAGAGGTACAAGACTGTTAAAGAGAATTTTTGAACAAATTTATTTAAAACTAATCTTAAGAAGCTGCCAAATAAATGCTAGATAATGTAAAGTCAGAAATTTAAATAGGGTTGTTGAATTCAATTGTAGTGTAGTTCCCTTTTAGCCTAATTAAGGAAAAACTAAAGAATATCTTGACAAAATGATGCCTAATTGATTTTCTTGTTATAAAAAAAATTGCAGCATTTTAAAAACATAATTAACAACTTATGTCCTGCAACATTTCCAAGCGTCTGCACCTTGATATTTTCAATGAAACAAAATGTGTCTGTATTTATAGGAAGTAGATTTTTTTTTCAGAAAAAAATACCATCATCACATCATTTTTCACTCACATCCATTTTTTTTTCTGTGCAAATTAAGAAGAAAACAAATTTTTATGATAGATACTTATGTCTACGATTGTATATAGTCTTATAAATTTTAACATCAACACAATTAATCTTTTTATGATTACTCGTGTACTTTCGCTGATGATCAAAATATTTTCGATAACAGATAATTTAGAGAGCGGAATCAAGTGGTCTACCCAATCATTCATATGTTTATAATTTCTTACTACTTTAACGTATGAGAGAAGATATAAATATATAACAGTAAATAAAATTTACACGTCCTGAATTTATAAATAGAATGAGAAGAAATTAAAATTTTCTTGATTGAAAAATTGCAAAATGCATGCTGATGTGCACCTACTTAATTTTCTTCTTTGAGTTTTCCTCTTTAGCACTCAAAATTCTTAATTCAAATTATTTAGTGACTATTTTAAATTTGCACGTGCTCTCTCATCTAGTCATCGTGATAAGTTGAGCAGAAATGCCTCTCAAGTATATCCGCATTTTGTGTGTTTTTTTTGCGGAATTTCTAAATTAAAATTGTCTGTATTATTTCGTTATTTCGTCTGAATGTAGAGATGCATTTTAATTAGCTTCTATCATTCTCACGGATTTGTCATTTTAAGGACTTCAAACTGAAATAATTAGGTTGTTTCCCTACTATGCAAATGCAACTCATTTGCATGTATTTAAGTTCACAGATTTTGATTCAGGAATTTATGGCGTCTAGAATTGGGATTTGGGATTCAATCTGTATCTTTAAATTTTCTATTTTAATTTAATACTTTGCAAAGAACTCCTTAAAATTGAAGAATTAGATTTTCTGCTTAATTTTTTTAAATTAATTTCAGAATAAAATTCAAAATTTTAATTAAAAAACAAAATCCTCAAAAAATTTTGATTAAAAATATTTAATTGTCGGCTGAAAAACAACAAAATTCTCAAAAGATTTATCTCAACGTTTACGCTTCCAAAGCTTATAGGTGAAGCCTTTGACACGAAAAAAATTTCATTCAAGCCATTCAATTACAAGCAAATTTTCTTTTGTGCGAATTTTTGAATGAAAAAAAAAATTTCTATGAAGATCGTACGCTTCAAAAAAGGGTCTTAGTGAAGAATTAAGTTATTTTCATTGTAATTCAGACATTCCATTCGTAATGCTTTAAATATTTTATATCCTTTTACCCAAATTAATTTTGATACGTTGCTCTCCCTTTTTCTAGTTCTTCTCGTCATTTCAATCATCGCAGAAATAATTAATTTGAATGAGCTTGTAAGTCTCGCAGCAAACAAAAGCTTCTAAATATAATTTCACTCGATTTTTTATTTTAATTCTTTTTTTGTTCCTCATTCATTAGATTTTTCGTTAGTGTTAAAGGGTGTGAGCAGAAATTAAGTATTTTTTATGTTTAATTATTTAAGTTTTTAGTGAAATTCATTCAGTTAATTGAACTTAATATGAAGATTTGCTGGATTATAATTTTAAGTAAAGTTTAAAAGCTTAGCTTTTGAAATCTGATAGGTTTTTTTTATAAATTTTAAGAATCTTCTGCTTTGATCTATCAAATTTCAAAGATTTCGAGAATATTTCGTAAATTCTCAAGATTGATATGTTTTTAAAGAAACTCTTGTTTTAGCTGCTTGTAAGACAGTAACTTTATATTGAGGAATTTGAGGAATAATCGAGTAAAATAACAAGAGGATCATTAATTTATGGCATTTAATTTAAGTGGATTCTAAAGCTTTGTGATATTTATTAGAACTTTATTTTTGAAAATGTTAAGGATCAATTACAATGACTTTAAAGAAAACACTTCAATTAATTTTCCTTTCCTTTCAATTGCATTATTTGATTGACGGCTTTATTAAATTGAAATTTAAAAACGAACACGAATCAAAGATTAATTTTAAAAAACTTTTCACGACTAAATTTCCTTTCTCAATATTTAATTGAAATTTTAAGTCAATAAATATATTACAACAAACTTTCATGATCCTCAAATGATTTATTATGTTGATTTATCTATTTTTGTGAAAGTCTCAAATACTCGTTAACCCATAATAATAAAGATGACGAATAACAATAAGAAGATATTGTTTTGTTATGTATTCTTCATCCAATGATTTAAATTTTATTCATTTCGTCTCGCGAAAAAAAATGAAATGAGAAAATAAAATCTGAGATGAATATAAAAATACTGCGCGACAATTTTGTAATTACTATCACATATGAATGGGATTTTCATTTAATTTTCATGTAAATCTCACTTACTCTTCGCTCGATCTCGAGCACAAACAAAAGAGCCTTAAATGATATTTTTAATGAGGCATGATAGATGTAGTGTATAATTATAAAATGAAGTAAGGTATAAGAATAATTCGTGACGAAATCAAAGTAAAATTAGACTGAACATTTTTAATTTTTGTGAGTACTTTGAGAGAACTTCAAGTATCGTATAGAATTAAGTAGAAAGGAAGAACAAGTCTGGACCAAAAATTTATAAAAATCATGTGCTATCATGTCTAGGAGGTTACACTAAACCAACAAAAAAATCGACGGGTTTCATTGCATTTTCAGTTCAAACAATTTTCATTTAAAAATTCGTCATCCCCAAAAGCAAATAAATGTACGACATTTTCCGTAAATATATCTCAATCTGCCTGTCATCTTTAATGCTAAACCAATGAGCAAAGACCATCATTGATCTTGAAAAAGGACAAAATAAATGTGAGAATGCATAAAGATTTCAATTTATTTAACAACCAAAAAATTTTCTCTTTCTCTCTTTTTATGTCTCGATAATGTAGCGGCGCCAAGACTCTGAGAAAAGAAAAATTTATGCATCACATGAATGTTGAGGGGGGTACGAAATATTAATTTCTATTTATTGCCGAAAAAGATATGAAAGAAATATTCGTTTGAAAATAAAATAAATGTAAATTTAGATAAACAAATGTGAGAATTCGATCCAAAAGATTTTTTACGCTGTGACCATCCTTGAATAAGAACTAAAGAGTAAATTTTGTTCCTTAAGTATTTTATCGGATGACGAAGACGCACATTTTAGTTTGATTGGTTGGTTAATTGATAGACTAATTGGAAAAATTGACAGGCATGTGATTTTTCATTCGTGTCTTTACGTTTTCACTGCGTCAGACGTGTTTGTGCAAAAACCTACATATTTTCACGTTTAGTTAATTAATGTGATAAGAAAAAATCGTGACGAAATTTTGAATAATAAGACTTTTGTTGATTTTAACAATGGATTTGGGGAAAGATATTTTTAGGAATATCACAATGATGTGGATGTTCTTATTTCAAGGAAATAATTAATTTTATTATATTTTGCGTAAGTTTGCAATTTGGATTGTTCCGTAAATCATGTTAATTAGAAAATTTGATTTTTTTTTTGGAAATTCATAATGTGACTGCTTCCTCAATGTCTCCTCATTTCCTCGCTAATTCCATACTTCTATCCCAGATGCATTCTAGAACTGTCTAATTATTAGTTCATAACCTCAAAAAATTAACGCGAACCAAATTTTCGATTTGAGTCCAGCACCATGCCAGGGTTACGCTAGCTTGGTGTCGGATTGTTATTCGATTAACCGACTTGTGCTATTCGTGTTAGATTAATACTCTAGAGTCAATGTTGTCCAAAGTTTTTGAGCCACTGCACACCTGAGGGGTGAGCCATGACCGAAGTCGCACATAGAATGCGGTTCGTGTCAGTTTCACACAGTTTGGACAACACTGTTCGAAGTAAACCTTAAATTAAATTCCAGCTTAAATCCAGCTACAAACACACATACATACATACATACAAACAAATAGTCCCTAAAGGTTCATCACTGTGAATTCTTCTTAAAATCTTTTTTAAAAAGATTCAATATTAACAAGTGAAATTCAGAATCTAGAAATGAAAAGCACAGTTCTACACAGAGCCAAGAAAATAAATGAACCATCATTTCAGATAATCACACAGTCAACCAACAAAGATATTTCACTCTGTCAAATGACCATTCATTAAACAACCCAAAATGAAAAACAGATCGCATTCTTCCATAAGAAAGAAACAAAAATTGTGCTAGGAAAAAATATGAAAGGCAAAAAGTAGAAGAAACACAAAAAAAAATGTTCGAAAAAAGAGAAATTATGATTGATATTTTGAAATGTTTTCTTCCTTCAATATACTACGTGTATGATGTTATGGGAGACTTTAACTTAATTTTCTTTTCTTTTAAATTTCAAGGTATTTTTATTTTTAGCACATTTTCCCAAAATCGGAATGCCGTGAATTTCCGTCTTAAATCATTTTGTCCGTTACTTGCACATGAATATAATCTTCAAAGGAGGAAGTATAGATTCGAATTTATGTATAATTTATGTACCTGTCACATGCGACAAGGAAGGATTTTCAGATTGATTATTCCGCAGTACGAAACTGACATGTAAAGAAAAACTGGCAAGGATGATCATAGAATCTAGCTCTGAAATATTGTTTTTTTTTTCGTGCAATTCAATTGAAATTCAACCTGATACATTTTGTGTAGTTGATTGAAATTCGAGTGGCAAAAATTTGAAATTGAAAAATTTGTTTTGTAAGAATTGGAGTTGTTTAGTTGTCACAAAATGTTCATGTCTTTTAAATGTGTAGTCTTTTGTTGAGCAGAAAACTTTGTCTTTCTGTATTTATCAATTTTACACGCTTTTATTTTCAAGTTCAGGCTTGTAGCTAGAATTTTACTGTTATTAAGGGAGTCTGACTAGGAATGGATCAGTTACTATCATATATTGAGCCATGGATATTTTTGAACTTTCATAAATTAACTGGATTCAACAGAGAATCCAAGTTTGTCTTTATAAACCTTCACTTCTGCCCTTAATTGTCCTGGCCACACCAAAAATTAAGCTCTAAATCTGTTTTTGATTGCATCATTCTCGGTTTATTTAAAGTCTTCATTTGTTGTCATTTCAACTCAAGTACAACTTTTTATCATGTCAAACGTTTGCAAAAATACACTTTTAATCTTATTTTCAAGATTTTTGTACAAGAAATTAATCTTTTCGCCGAGAACGAGAAACAAATTAATTGAATGAAATTTTCACAAGAAAATGCGCCTTAAAACTGACTTCATGTCTTGCTTATCGTTCGTTACGTACGATAGCATTGTTAATTTTTCTTTTTGAAGAAAAACGTTGGAGATTTTTTTTTAATATTTTACATTTGATTGACCTTCATATCCAAGGGAAGGCGTCATCATCTAATGAACTTCACTATAAACATGAAGAAAATATAATAAATTAACGGAAAATATCATTTTAGGGAGAAATAAACAGCCTTTTCAGAAGTATAGTGTCATAACCTTTTTTTGGCAGTGAAAGACTATAATCTTGTTGAGGAGAAAGATGAATATGTGATTTTGTCGCAAAAAAACAAAAAAATTGTTCGAAAATGAAATTTTCGTGTCTTGTGTTCACATAAGTGAATAAAAAATATAAATTGTCTTTGTTTCTAATAATATTTAATAAATCTTTCAGATCGTAGATTTCACAATAAAAAAAAATATTGAAAGAAATGCTAATTAAAAATATAATTGCAGGTATGAAATTTGACATCAAATTGAAATTTATTGCAATTTCGGGTCACTCGTGTTCACATTAGAGAACATCCACTTTATTTAGAACCAATAACTCGCATGAGTGAGAACCTGTCACTCACAAAATTCAACCCAGATTTCAAGACTATCTTAGACATTTTCTCATCATTAAAACTTTATTTTCTCTTAATTCGCAGTTTCTTTTCTTAATTTGTTCTTACATATGTCACTATTTATCAACTTTGGATTTCTTATGAAATATTTTAATTTATTTTGACCACTTTTTCACTAGATTTTTCATTTATTTTTATGAAACTAGCACTAAATCTAAATTTATTAATGTGAAATTAGCACTAAAAATTTCATGTCACATTTTCGTCCTTAGGACTTCACTTTTATTCCTTTTTAAGAACTTTTCTTATTTTTTCATTTTTATTTTTCGCTCAAAAATTTTGAAATTCTTTTTCTTTTTTCTTTTTCTTGAGGATACTCGAGGCAGACTTCACTCTGAACCCATCGAATTTTCGCCACATACAAACGAGCAAAATTCCTTTCAATATCTCACATACAAAAAAATTATAAAGTTTAATAGAATTTCGTATTTCGCTCGTCATATTATTCGCGTTGCGACTATTTTTATGCTATTTTACAAACGTATGTGAAAAGAAAAACAGAGAGAAAATGAACATCTTTTTTTCTTGGTTCTATACAAAAAAAGAGATTTTTCACATTAAGGTACAAAAATTTTATAGCTTAAAGGAATATTGCTGGAGAATGCCGAGAAATTTTAAAGTATATATAACAATAAAAATTTATTGACGACATGCTATTGTTACTTTTAAAATGTCATAAAGTAAAGAACATAAGAACATCAGGAAAGATTTTCTTTCATTTTTTTTTTTGTAATGGAAGAAGGAAGATGAAGAAGCGTATGTGATTGTGAATGAAGGAAAAATTATTTCTCCCGTGAGAAATATATATTTTTTTTTGTTTGTTTGTATAGGCTGAGTTTACAGAGTTGTCAGCTAATATTTGCAAGCTAAAGCATTCTGGATGATTAATAGGTATTCTAAAAGTGACATTCTTAATGTGCTTTATTTTTTTTTTTCGTTTAAAAATCTTTCTTTTGTTATTGTGCTTACTTTTTACTTGATGGCAAAATATTGTAAGAAAACTGCTAGACATAAAATATTAAAGGATCTCAGGTTGAAGCAGAAAATAGCACTTAGCATAATCAAATATCAATAGACTCTTTTTAAAAGCATTAAAATTTTATCTGGAAGTTAAATTTTACAGTAAGCACCTGAATTATTTTAACCGCAATTCTATTCAGGCTTCGTCTATATATTTTAAGGCTCTAGCATCTGAATTAATCTTTACTTTTCCCAATTTTCACGATAATCTAGATCCAAACTGTGTAGCACACTGGTGTGCCGTAAGACAATGTGCACTGAAAATTCCAAAAATAGGTAGGCTTTCAGAAATTCGTAGATTTTACACTAGATAAAATAGACTGAAGTGCAAAAAAAGTTCAAAAAATTAAGATTCGTGAAAAAATATCCAAATTCAATATGTGCTGTGGCTGAATAAAGTGCTGATCTAGCTAAACACAGTGTTACTACAAAGTTGCCTTTGTTGAGATTTTGTCTTTGATTTAGCAAAGTTTTGCAAAGGCCAAAAAATTGCCAATGACTTGTGCCTTTGATTTCAAATTTCCATCGCTTAGGTCCGCCTTTTAAAGTCAAGTCTTAGGTATCAACACTGCCCAAATATCACAAATATTCAACAAGGGCATTGAAATAATTCTTTTGTTGCATATCATATACTCTCCTTCTCCTAGCCGTTTGTTATGGACGTTAATATAAATATTGAACTAATCTATAGTAACGCCTTAAGTGCTCAGTTAAAATTTTTTTTTAATTCTTTTACTCAACGGAACCATCAATTTGGCAATCAAAATCAATAAAAATTCAAAATCAACACTATGGTCCTTAAGGCACATGCATTTATCGACAAACACATAATATTATATAAATAATGCAGCCATAACATGACAGCCTCTAATTTAATCTGAATTCCAATCTTCCTAAACATTAAAGGAAGTCCAATAAAATGAAATTCCTTTTATCAAATGAGAATCACTTGGTTACTATGTAAGTATCAATTCATTAATTAGTCGGCACCTTTATGCTTACTGTAAAGAATCACACATGAAAATATCCAGACAAGTCTGATTGTACATTTTCTGATTGCTGCTGTTTTATGTCCATTTGATCTGTGTGTAGCTTGATGATCTTTTGAATATTTTTTGCAGTGATGGGAATCGAGCGAGACTCTGAATATATCTTGTTGTGATCTCACAGGAAGCCAATTTGTCAACTCTGTACACAACTGCGATCGGAAATAATAACAAAAAAGAAATGAAAAATATAATATAACGTGATGCTTACAAAAATAAAGCAACCTTGGTTAAGAGTAAATTTTCATCTTGTTTCTCTCGCGTCTTCTTCTTCATCCTCCTTCCTTTTTTTCTTGACATTTTTTTCCCATCATTTTGTCGAAAAGTAAGAGCAAAAAAAAATAATATATACAGAACATCCTCAGACAAAAGAAAATGAAAAGGCAGCAATTAAAGAATGATGAGTTAAAAGTATACACACGCGACGAGAGACCAAAAAACTATGACGCACTTGCTTGCCTTCCTCCCCAATTCACGGATGATGATGATGATGAAGAAGTCGCAAGTGGTGAAAAATGTAAGCGTGCTTGTGAATATTCGTACCGCTGGTTATGATTTTTCATTTTTTTTCTCTCAGGGACCGTTAACTATGACAGGTTCCTAATTCCCTAGATTTACACATAATTAAGCAGAAATTATAATTCTCACTTTTAAAGATCTAGTAAATTTTATGAAAATCAGAACGGTTGTACAACCGTAAATCACGGTGCGACTTTAAAAATATTTTCTTGTGCATTAGTAGTATGTCGATCTTGTATTTAATATTTACTGTATTTCACCTTTATTCTTCACAGAAAAAAAATTCGCAAAGAGATGAGAAAAAATTTTAAGTGTGAATGAAGATGTGAGAAGATTTTCATTTTTTTTTGAAAAATCTATTTTCAGTGGCGATGTAGGAACAAGTCAAGTTTTTTTTTTCTAAACACGATTATTAAAAGAATTCTTTTTTGACGAATAAACGCCTACACAATAATATGAGAAACTATTTCTTTCTTCTTCGTCTACATGCTTTCATCGCATAAAGGGAAATGTGTGAAATTGAAAAGAAGAAGGTGAAAAATGGCAACTCATAAGCTCACATGATACCTCAATTATATGGATTATGCTTTATTGTTATCTCTTTTATTGTCGTGTTCGTGGGAAAAATTTCTAAAATATTAGTTATTCATATTGCCACTATGCCTTCATAATTTTTAAAAATATTATCAATAAAATACATTTATGTTGGGGATTACGAAGCTTCTTCTTAGAATATCATGATTGTTTATTTTATTGACTATCTTGTTGAGTGACATTTAGTGATCAAAGTATATTGACCTATTTCACGAAACGCTGAAAATAATCCTCAAGTTTGATTTCTTAGATTTATACATAAAAATTTAAAGAAAATTGTTCTGGTGCCACATTTGTCATGTAGATTTATGAAGCTACTGGAATTTCTCCCTCTGGTAAAATTAAAAAAAAATGTGATTCAATTTCAAGAGCCACAAGATAAGAGACTCTCACATGACAAGGATAATATTGGCTTATAAAGTTCTGTTGAAAGTAGCCATGAAGTAGTTTGTGTTATGCTTTCATTTGAGATTACAACGCCACTTGAGTAGATCAATAAAGATTGAGAGAATATTGATATTGCGTCCTTGGACACATTTTATTCTGATAATTTTTTTTTTGAGTGACATTAAGATCAAGTGGGAGGACGTAGAACTAATGGAAAAAAGACTGTTGATGGTAATATGCTTGATGATGAGAATTAGCTTTTCAGTAGCTAGCGATAAAGCTTCTTAAAGACAATAGCTGAGGAAGATTAAATAAAACATAGTTGATACTCATTCAACCAGAATCCTGACTTAGTATTACAAACATACAGACATTTATGTGTAATTTTCTTGACAGCTCTTGTACATCAAAAGAAATTCATAGCGTTGCGGACAAAAAAAAACTTACTCTGAATATTAAGGAACTGAGGAATGTTGATTTCTATTCAAAAAGTAAATCTGATAAAACTTTTCTAAAACCACTCAACTTCCTTTTGCTTATTTTCTGCGAAATATTTCAAAAAACTTTTTTTTTGTCCATAATATTCAATTCCCTTAGAAAAAAAGGAACTTGACCATTTCAATTTGATTTTCTGAACTTCAACATACTTTTTTTTTGGGTCGATAGAGTGGCTATTTCATGTGACAGTTACATGAAAATATGTGACAGATATGGAAAATTTAAGAGGGTCTTGATAATGTATTACATTTATTTCCTCAAATTGCAAGGATTTTCTTTGGGTTTCTTCTGAATTCTAAAGCATTCAATTTTTCTTTTATTCAATACTGTCATTATTTCTATTGTAAGTTATTGGATCTAAAAGGAAACTATTCAATCTGAACATTTTTTAACATTGTATGTTGAATGGAAAATAAAAAGTTTCATATATCTAATGGAAATGATTGACTAAATTGTCATTAAATGAGATTCATGATATGCTGAATTATTGTGAGATATTATGTGATAAATCGTTGGTTCGTGATTCTATTCCAACCAAAGGGATCATTTAAAAATTAAAGTATATTTTCCAAAATGTAATCTCATTTCAATAATGTGAGACGATTTCCTATAGAAATTAAGGAAATATAGACAGTGATTTTTCCGAGAAAGTTTGTTTGAATTTTGCTGTTGATCCGGTCGGGTGAGATAAGTTTTTAAATATTTAAAAATTTGCACATGTCTTAATAAAAATTAAAATTTAATTAATTGTTATATTCACGAAATAATCACGAGATTTCTTGGAAGAGAAGAGAAAATAAAATAAATTATTGTTATTAATCTTCGTTGCGCTGGTTTTGAGTATCTTCGTAGAATTTATTTTGAGTGCATTATGTCCATCAACAAAATAATCTTAATTTTTTAAAATCTTGTCAAGAAAAGTTTTGAAAACTAGCTCAGTCTTAATGTTAATTTGCACGTGCAAGTTTTAAAACAATTTCTCTAAATGACATAAAAAATGTTAAAAAGTTTCACACAGTTGACATCGAGAAAATGCAACAAAGTATGTTTAACTTGTGACATTCAACTGCTGTGTGACATTTTCCTTATTAAAAATTCCAAGTAGAAAGTCATGTCAATCGAAAAAGAGGTGAAAAAAAAACCACCAACTCTGTATTGCTTATTTCTTTTTCATTTGTTTCTACCCATCCCAAGTTAAGAGAAATTTTAAGTAGATATAAATTTTCACTTGAAGAATTCTCACATGATCTCAATAATATCATTTAACAAGTCGATAACAATTATCGTAAATTTACATAGCGAAAGTCGATGTGGTGCTTGAGGCTTTTAAGGAAGAAGGAGGAGAAGGAGTGGGTAACGAAGCAAAATAAAACATCTAATGTTGGCAAATTTGTATACAATCAATAAATGCTACGATATGCTATAAAAATTCACATTCTTTACATTCACAAAATATATCGTCTTTGAGTTTTTTCTAAGCACGCATGTTATTTATTAAATTAATTGAATGAAACGGCAGATAAAATTCTTCCATCTCTTCTTTCTCCGATCAATCAATCATATATGTAACAAGTTCTTTATATAAATTTGTTGCCTTCAATCAAAAAAATCGAATAAAAGATGAGAAAGAAAGTCGAAGTAGATGATTTTCAGGCTATTTATTTAAGTGTTTGAATATGTGAAAAATTTTAACTTTTTTTATTGTTTTAAAAATAAATAATTTCACAATTCATCGGTTCGATACATCGAGTAGAGTTGGCGGTATTAACTCGCACGTCGAGAGAGACTTAATTAATTTTTTTTTTTCGTTTCTTTTCTTTTCATTTATTTGTTTTATACTTTTTTCTTCTCTTCCTAATACATATAGACTTCGCAATTAACATATGCAACCTTTTTCTGTTCAGTTTGTTGATTTAAAATATATGTCGAAATTTGACGACCTAGACGCATTTTTTGCACGCATTTACACGTTCTGCATGAGAAATTTTCAAACATTTTTTCATTAAAGTCAAGAAATTAAATCCTCAAAATTTGTAATCTCAATATAAAGAGCTTGTGGCTCAATATATAGTCAAGATTATATACAAACATGTTAATTTCCGGTACTTCCAATTCAATTACATTTCAAAAAGAAAATAACGAGATAAAATTCTCAGAAGTTTTGTTACAAATTGAAAGATATTATGAACAAATACGGGATCTTGTGACAAATATGCTGGATTGAAAAAGTTTTTGATGCAAACATGTACGCAATCTGGAGATAATAGACAAAAATATGTAAAGCTTTCACGTGTTCTCGTATTTTATGGATGAAAGTATTTCTTTTCAATTATTTTTGAAGAATGCAAACTGCTTATGAAAGCTGAATTGAGATTTTGGGAGAAATTCTTTCAATTTATAAGTTTCAGCATGTGTTGATGAAGTTATGACGAATTTGTTTGCTTTAATAACAAATTTAAGTCATAATATATTCTTGAAAAAATAAGATTTAAAGTCGTTGACAAGTTTCAACTCCTCTCATTTAAAATAATTCACTAACAGCCTGTTCGTCAGCAAATAACTTAAAACCGTTTCTTAGAGCTGGTTTTCGGACTGCTTGAGCACCTACGATAGGTACAGGTTAATTTTATGTACGTGTACTTTAAAGTCTAGTACAAAGTATTTTGAATCTAGTGATTGGTGCCTCGGATAGCCCCAAAAAACTAGCCTTAAAGGATTCAAAAATTTTCTCGACCGAAAATAATTTTTTTTGTATACAAATTTAAAAAATAATATTTTATTTTTCCAACTCTGGAAAACACAAAATGATCCTCTCTAGACATATTGTGAATAATCTCATCATTTTCATTTGGAAAATCGCATCATAACAGATTCTTTTTGAAGTGTCGGATCATTTCAAAAGAAAAATGTTCAAAATATAATTTTTTTTCTTCCAACAGACAAATGAATATGTATAGCCACATATCACGTCACTAAATGTAAATAAATAAGAAGATTGCCATGCAATGAACTTCACACACCACCAGTCAAACTAACAAATCATTTTATGAAGTAAAAAGAGTTTTCTCATCTAACGTGGGTTAACGTAGGTCATGTCTTAATTTTCAATGATAAGTGGATATGTATGTCGATATGAATGCTGCAATCGTGATCAAAAATATATGAATTTGGTTTTCTGTGCAATTCGAATCGATAAAGCTGCAATCAATTATGGAAATAGAAATTTTTTTTTCTCCTTACCTTTTTATTACTTTTGAATACCATGCATTTGAATCTATCGGAACTTCCATCACGTGCAATATAACTAAAAATTTTTAAATCGCTACTGTCATGTGAAACATAAAAGATACGATATATTGGATGGTGCATAATCTCAATCTCTCCTAAATCTCCCGACCAATTTTGCGATTTTCTCTGTGGATGAAAAGAATATGAAAAGAAAGAAAATGAGAATTGAGCACACGAGAGTACGACTGCCTTTTTTTGACGTATTAATAAGCTTTTGTAAATTAAAATTGAATATAAAGAACGTTATAACAGCTTACCACTCTCATTTTTCGTTTTCGCTTTTTGAGGCATATTCTCACTCCATCTACCGAGATCTCTATCGAAACTTTTTTCTTCTTGACGTTTTGCTGTTTGTATTCATACTGAATTATGAAATGGGGCAAAGAAAAGAATATTATTTTTTTATCTGAGCTTTTTCACGTATTGAGATGAACTTACTCGTATTCTCCTCATGGCTTGTACTATTTCCGTTCGGTTATTTGGACGCGGCACTTCTTGAAACCCAATCAACTGGAAAATAAGAAAGAAAAAAAAATCATTTTCGTTGGTTTTTGTTTCTGGTTAATAAAAGATTCAGAAGAAATTGTAACAAAATAACGACCACAAGAATGAGAATGAGAAGGTTGTGAGTGCAGTGATGCATTATTTATAAGAATTTGTTTTTAAAAACTGTGAACTAAATTGCTTTTTTATTTTGAAAAACATTTTTGCTCAGAAATAAAATTTTCAGATCATTAAATTATTATTAGCTTTAGAAATAGGAGAATTTAGGAAGTCGTTGAATTTAATAATAATTTTTTATAGCTTGCTTTTTTGCAGATTCTAGCTTGAAATGCATAATAACAGGGTTGAATTGTCATTCAACAATTTCAGGGAGACTCACTAAGCTCCTGCAAGTCAATCATATTTCATTGAGGAACTTGTTTTGTTTGAGCAAGTATTGCGTGTTGTGGAGCATATTTCAGACATTTCAGATCTAAATCATTAACACTTGAATTCTAAAACTTTATAGTAAAATTCCCAGACAAATTAAAACCGACAAAGACTCAAATACCAAACAAAATTTATCTCCAAACTACAAATTTTATGAGATTTTTCTGGTTTGAACTTTATGAATGATGGAAACTTTTACCCTCAAAAAAAAAATTACTAAAAACTTCAATATCTTTCGATTATCACACCCAAAGGGTTCATAAAGTTCCCAAAGAATTTCCCACAAAGAATTTGGTTTATTAACTTTAATTTGGAAATCAAGAAGATATCAATCTTATGTTTTTACTGACACTAGATATTCTAACAATGAGTTTAACAATCGAAAATAGAAAAGGATATTGTGTGGGACATAAATTCTTTACTTCACAAGAAAACTTTCTTCTAAAAGCAATTAATCATTGTGAAAATGGCAAGAAAAGTTTGCACGAAATTTTTCATCATTTCTCATTTTTGTCAACAACTAATCTTATTTCATTAATCTAGTTCTTATTTATTTTGCCGAGTTTGAAATAGGAGAGGAGCATAAAAAGAAGAAAATTATCGTTTTCCAAAACTTTTAATTCGAACCGAAAAATTCAATGAAATTGAAAAACTTCAAAACATGCAGAGAATGAATAAGCAGATGGGGAAGTAGGTGTGATGAAATATTGAAGCGCATTCTTGCGATAAAGAATTAATGATGGAAGCCTTAAAAGAGCTTGAAAACATAACAGAATCCAACAAAATAAAGCACAGTGAATAGTAATCTGTTTAAAGCACCGTGTTGATGATTATTTCAGAAAATTTCGTAAATTACATTTCCACAAAAATGAAAAGTAATCAGAATTGCGAGTATTTGTGATGATAATATTTGTGGTATATCTCAATGAACTTTCACATTTATATTTTCTCGAGGGACTACTTCATTAAAATCTTCAGAATCTTGTTAGCATTTATAGAAAAATTATTCGTATTCAAGCTTATCATGATAATACACAAAAAACACCAAACATAATTCAATTTTTCATTCAAATATACACTCCTCTAGACCGACAGATAAAAAGACCCAAAAAACCAAAGAAATTGTCAATATTAGCTTTTGCGTTCATATCCTTAAATTGAATTGCGTGGAAAGTGTTGTTGAAAAAAAGGTAAAATGAGAAAAGAATATGCTCATAGTTGGTACACAAAAGTATTATATTTGAAACATAAAATGTTTCCATAGTGAAAATATAGCATAGCTTTAGGAAAAATGCGATGAAATAAACACCGATGTATGCCATTTTCATGCCTCTGTCACATCTCTTTGTCTGTTTGTTTCTTTTCTATTTTTCATGAGAAATCGATAAATATAAAGGACCTCTCATTTTCAACAATATTTTTTTTTCTAATATCCAGGGGTGTATTTAAAGGGAGTTTGAATATCCAATTCTGTGATGAAACTTTAAACTCAATGTGATTATTTTTGAAAGAGATGTAAAAATTAAATCCTCACCCCCTTCTCGTCGAGAAAAAAAGTTCTGTACGCCCCTTGAAGCATCATAAACTAAAATGAGGTAATTTTATAGATAATGTTGGAACAAGGACATGGAACAAGAATAGACAAACTTTTTTTATTTCGGAAAATTTCTCTTTAATAATCTCATAGTGGAGGGAAGAATAGACATAGAACATTCTCATCTTTTTACACTTAAGAATGAAAAATCTATAAATCACATACCTTTGCTTGAAAGCTGATGCCTGTAAAGAAGGCTTCGTCTGAGTGTAAGGGAACACGTAAATCTTGCTCGTCCTTGACTAAGTTGTATGGTTGTGATGGCATTTTTTCTTTCTTTTTCTTGCTTTATAATATACACAGAAAAAAAAACCTTTCTCACTCTTATCTATATGATATGCTCCTTTTATCCTCCGTGCTGATTCTTTTGAATGAAATTTAATCACCAAAAAAATTCTTTATCCTTTTTTGCATACATGAAAATCTGTAAAGAAGTAGACAAATAAAATGAAATTAATATTAAATAAGGGTCAATTTATGCCAAGTTTATAAATAAAAATTAGCATCCATCAATAATAATCACATTGTGTGCACGATTGTGCTATGAAGAAGGCTTTTTTTCTTTTTTGGTCACTGAAAGATTCAAGCGCATTAATTCAATTTTAATGTTATGATATCAAATGATGGATGTTATTTGATGATTAATGGAACTGATCCGAGATTTTCTTTTTAAAAATGAATTGAAGAATATTTTTGAATAAATTGTATTTCTTGAGGATTTAAGAAACTTTTAATAATCTTTTTAGAATTTTTCACAATGTGCTGCTGGATAAGGATTTTACGCTTATAATGGACTCGTTGGAATGTTTGAACTTTATAGTCTCTTATAAGAGTTCGTGATCATATTGTTTATGAGACACGAAAGTACAAAGGTTTGTCTAAGCAATGTCAATGTCACAAGATGTCTAGACCAACAAAAAAATGTTTCCAGACTAAATATCATAGTTTGACTTCAAATTTCGATTTAAATTCACGGATTTTCAATGCCGTTATTTGACTGTTCGCTAACCCCACAAAAAAAAATGTTGATAAAACATCTGCAATGAGATAATCAACAATCATAAATTATGCCGGAAATCACCACTTCACATTGCTTTCGAATTTTTAATTAACCCGCACATCCAACCACCATGAACGTCAATAGTAAAAAGCCAAAACAATAAACACAAAGCAGCTTTTCATTGGCGAAAATTGCGCAAAAAAGTTGTGTTACTTATTATTTGCAATTGAATGCTGCAGCACTATGTAATTTATCGAATTTAATTCATGACTCAACACAGCATCCAAAATGCTAATGTAATTTTATTTATTATAGCAAGATTAGTTGTCTCATTAAATAACATTCCTTTCATAGCAATATTAAACGTGAATCACACGGAATTCCATAGAAAATATATGAACGATACGTGGTCATTATAATTACGTCAGTCAGTGTGTTACCTGTTTGTCAATGTACAGTTTTAGCCATATTTTGGACTCACTATTTTCTCTGCAACATTGTGACATTAGCTTTTAATTATGATGAGCTAGTAGAGGACTTTGATACGATAATTGACTAATTGCGACTTTAAAAGAATTCATTATTGTTAGATACGATTTAAGTCATTGTTCCTGCTTATGATAATTAAGATGAAAAACAGGTTTAAGTTCTCAGATTTATTTCAATTGAAATGTACACAAAAATGAAGAGGGAAACAAAAAAAACAAAATTACTTTAAATTGCTGTAAAGGTGCAGCTGGCTTTGCTAGTCAGTGCGACAAAGAACACCCAAATTATGTACTTTTTTTATTCCCATTCAGACATACACATAAACGTAGAAAGAGAGACTCGGGAATCAACCATAACACAAACAAGAACTAATAACAAAAAAATCGTGCATACATTAATTTTCTTATATGCGCGATGGAACAAAACAGGTTTTTTTTGTGTTCGGAAATTCTTCATAATGTAAAAATGATCATGCAATAATTTTTTGAATCATGCATCAGCTGTTGTTGAATGAAACAAAAATTTCTTTGACTTTGCACACATATACAGCAGAACTTTACATCCACATATGAATGACCGCTATTTTTAATGCGAATAAAATTTTTCTTTTTTGTATACAGAACGCCATGGAGTCGGGATTGGATACTTGAAAGAATACATTTTTGGCCGGCATTGGCATTGTTGTTGCTTCTAATTTAAAATAATCAGCACAATGAAACCGAAGGAAGGCAAAATAAGAAGAATAAGAAGAAAACGTCTATTGATCGTTGAAAAAGGAAAGCATGTCGAGATGAGTTCTTCTTGTATTTCATTTAATTATCAACGTTATTTATTGGAATAATTTTGGTGCGCAAATGTCTATGTCTCTGCGGAACTTTATTGCACTATAGAGAATATAAATTAAAATTAATTATTCTTTTTGCGGATATTTGTGGTAATTATAAGCACAATTAATACACATTGACGATAATTATGAGGTCTTTGAGTTGATACTAATTACATTGCATCATAACGACATTCCCTTATGACTAATTTAGATGAAAAAAAAATCTATTCTCGAATGACTAATTGCCAATAAAATTATCTTCAATCAGATTTACCTAGAAATAATTCACGAATTGATAGCTTACATGCACCTACATGGCTGTATGTAAATGATCACAAATGTATGACTCACGAATTGATTTTGAAAAAAAAAAACACCGGTGACTATACACATATCTCCGTCAAATGACGCCAGCTGATTTCTGTAAACACCGGATATTTTCTCCATCAAGCTTCGCGAGCTGAACGAGTTAATTTACAAACTCATTCAAATTCGCACAAAGATTTTTAAAACTTGGCAATCAAATACGATTCGTTTCTATTGTTCTTCCTCTAAGTAGATCGGAGTGAGTTATTCTTCAAAATTATAACTAGAAAGACGAGTTAATGTGACAGGGAAATAAATAAACTAATTAATTTATCAAGATTGTAAGACAGGTATAGAAATACTTTAGGGGAGAAATTTTTTTGTCACGATGAAAACTTTATGGATGAAAACACTTCATCAAAATTTATTGTTTTCTGTACACTCTATTTGAATTCATTATACAGGAAGCGGAGAAGACTCAGTTAAATGGAAATCTAGGCTGTCGATAGGCGCTACTGAATATTTTGAAAGAAGAAATGATTTTAAAGTAATTGATTAAAATCTGTATTTAAATTTTGTGAGGGAACTAAGCGATTATTCACTTTGGACATTTAAGATTGAAGAATCTTAAATAGGGTGACCAAATATTTTTTTTAAAAAATAAAGGACCTGAAAGTAAAATAGAGGAGATCCCACGTTTCTACCAATTTTATTCGATTTCTTAGCAGATGGTCAACCTAGTCTTAAAGGAACCTGAAATGTTATTGGATTTGCCTCTGGTTATTAACATTGCACTACAATCTAGTGATCTCATAGTACAGAAAATTTTATAGCTATCGAAAAACCAATTCTCAACAATTCCCTTTCATGTCAATTCAATACGAATCTATCAAAAACTTTAAACAGCTTAAGGGTAAACCAAAGATCACCATAATTCTGCGGTTCTAACCAGTGTTGAAATCTGCCTATACTTCTGCAAAAAGACACTTTCTATATGAAGAATTTATCTTCTGCAGATTTCTGTCTGCATGTAGATTAAAAAAAGTATCTACATGAAGAATCTATCTTCCAAAGAATTCTGTCTTCCACAGATTTCTGTCTGCATGTAGATTAAAAAAAGTGTCTACATGCAGAATCTGTCTTCCAAAGAATTCTGTCTTCCACAGATTTCTGTCTACATGTAGATCAAAAAAAGTGTCTACACGCAGATTCTGTCTTCCAAAGATTTCTGTCTTCCACAGGGTTTGTCTGCATGCAGATTATTATATTTTGATATTTAATAAATATTTTTAAATGAAAAACACATAGGAAGATTTAGAATACAAAATAAAACAACGAAATTAATTTTGCAAATTAATGTGGATTCTTCTTCACTTCCTCTGACAGCCTCTGACAAGTCTCTTTTATAAAAAAATGATCAAACATTTACGGGCTTTTAAAATTAATAAAAAGGGTTTTTTCATTTAGATTTTGTCGTTGTCAGAAAAATGCTTAATAATAGCATAAATACACTGAGTTACGCTTTTTATTAAGTATTCGATACGCCAATAAAACGATAGAACTGAGAAAACGTAGAGGGCTACGATGTCTGGTTGCTTCTATCTCAATCAATAAGTTACCTTTTTGAAATAAGTTTCAAAAATGCACTAAAAATGGATATTTTCAGTAACATACACACAATTTATTTTTTTTATTCTACATGTAGACAGAAATCTGTGGAAGACAGAATTCTTTGGAAGACAGAATCTGCGTGTAGACACTTTTTTTGATCTACATGCAGACAGAAATCTGTGGAAGACAGAATTCTTTGGAAGACAGATTCTGCATGTAGACACTTTTTTTAATCTACATGCAGACAGAAATCTGTAGAAGATAAATTCTTCATAAAGATAAAATCTTTTAAAGATTCTGTAGTCTTTGTCTATGGAAGACGTCTGTCATTTCAACACTGGTTCTAACTTAACATCAGAGTATTTAACTATGAAGCAAATAAAACTTCAACAAGGGTAGCAGTAATTTTAGCATCATCATTTTGCGGTTCTAAATGACTTTTGTAAAACAAAATTTTATTTAAACATGCAATAAATTGATGAATGTCTAGATATTCTATACGTGCCTGTCTAATCTTTTGTTGTGTTTGTAAAATGACTCGGCAAACAATTCTTTAAAATTAAATTGAATTTCAGCAAAAAAATTTGACATTGATGTACTTTGAGCGTAGCTGGCAAATTTTCATACGAAAAATCAATCAACATAAATTCACGGAAATAAAATTTATTTCCACAAATTCACCTTAAGAAGATGAAATGACTGGAAAAATGTTTTTATGATTTACGTTTATAATCAAATTTTTTATGACTTTTCTTTTACAACTTTTGGTACTCGCATCGAATTTTAAAAGATTTATCATTTCTCCATTTTCTTTGTTGTTGAAGTTCCTTAACCTTTCTCCTCATTGCGATACTTTATCTTGTTTGTGCTCGTCGATTCACCGATATGGAATGAAATTATATTCGGACATATAAAGTACATAAATACATTGTTGCCTTTTTGCGAAATTTACACAAATAAGACACACATGACTATTGAGGCTTAACAGACGGAAACAGGAAATGTAGTCGATAAGAAATGGGGTTGCTTTTATTTGAGTTATGAAAACTGTCGTAACGTTATGGGAATTCGTCTATGAATTAATTATATAGGGGACGGAGACAAGCTGCAAAAAATTCATTGAACTAATTCATAAAGAGTTTCAAGTTCAATGGTTTTTATTTTCCTTTGAATTTAAAATTATTCAAAAGAA